CTGCCACTTAAGGCCTGACAGAACGGTATCCATCAGTCTCTGAAATGTTGCGGGGGCTGAGCACAATCCGAATGGCAAGACTTTAAATTCATAAAGCCCGTCAGGCGTTACAAAAGCCGTTTTTTCTCTATCTCGCTCGTCGACCTCAATTTGCCAATACCCACTTTTGAGGTCCATTGACAAAAAGAAGCGTGCATACCTCAGCCTGTCGAGTGAATCATCGATGCGCGGTAATGGGTACAAGTCTTTCTTTGTCACACGGTTCAGCTTGCGGTAGTCGACACAAAATCGCAAGCTTCCGTCCTTCTTTTTAACCAGCACTACCGGCGATGCCTAAGGACTTCTTGACGGCTAGATGACGTCATCATCGAGCATTTTCTTCACTTGTTCCTGGATTGCTTCACGCTCTTTCGGTGCTACGCGGTATGGGTTCTGTCGTATTGGCCTTGCCGTCTCCTCCGTTATTATCTGATGCTTCGTCAGTGGCGTTTGACTGACCCTCGAGGTCGATGAAAAACAGTCTTTGAACTGGTGAAGAAGATCTACTAGACGCTGTCTCTGCGCTGGTGACAAATCCGAGCTTACGTCAATAGGTGGTGGGGCTGACGTGGCTTGCGGCTCGTCCTGTTGTACTACACAGCACTCGCGGATTTCAGTGATCTCGTCGAAGTAGGCAACTGTAGTGCCTTGTGTAATGTGTCGTCGCTCGTTGGTAAAATTCGTTAACAGAACCTCTGCTTCACCGCACACAACGTTGACGATACTTCTGGCAATTGCAACACCGCGAGATAGTAGGAGCGTCAATACTTGTTCAGCGATTCCTTCTCCAGTATTCTGCTCGCTGCACGTGACTGAAACAAGACGGCACGATAACGGAGGTACAGTCACATCGTCAATGACTCGTAGGGATTTTCAGTGTAGCGCTGCGCTTTGATCCGCTGAAAAGGTCAGTAAACCGTCCGGAATATTGATGATGGCACCATATTCACGCAAGAAATCCATCCCCAAGATTGCCTGTTTGCAACACTCAGAAAGGATAACAAAAGTTGCGACGAAGGATGCATCCCCTATCTTCATTCTTGCGGTGCACTTTCTGGTAGGTGTGAGTAGCTGCCCTCCAGCTCCTCTAATCTGCGGTCCTGTCCATTCCATTCTAGCCTTCCTGAGCGTGTCTGCCAGACTCTCACTCATTATTGAGAAGTCCGCGCCAGTGTCGACCAATGCCATGACGTCATGTCCGTCAATCGTAATTGCAACTTCGGCAGTAACAACCCCATCTTTCGTCGATTCATTGAAAATGTGTCTCTCTTCGCTCGGCAGTAACGGGGGATTTTCAGCACTTCGACGATTCGCAACCTTCCCACCTGAGGTCGCTTATTTTAGTTTCCCCGGCGTGGACTAGGAGATCTCCCTCTTGGCATGTCAGTGGTGCTCCATCTAGAGGATGGAGAATAACGCCCAGGAGAGGGTGAGCGTGACCGAAACCCAGGAGGAACATCCCGCGGGGTCATGACACTCGTGTCGACGTCAGATGTTCCGTTGAAATGGCGCCGAGGAACCGTAGAAGGAAACCCTTGGTACCCTGCGGCGCGATACGGGCAATACCGAATGATGTGGCCTGCTTCCCCACAGTGAAAGCACAGGGGCCTATGATCAGGGGTATGCCAGACGTCAGTTTTGCGAAGTGGTGGCCGCCTCGGCATCGAAGTTTCTCTGTAGTACCAAGGCGCTGTCGACGGATGTTGCTGGTGGTACTGATGTGGTGTCGGCACGTTCGCTGGCTGTCGGCGGACTACGTCTGCATAGTTTGACCTGGGAGTGCTCATGTTCGGCTCGGGAAGCGAGAGCGCTTGCCTGATCTCCTGGGGTACAACTTCCGTTACTGAGGCGATCGCGCAGTCATTCGGTTTGGCGACGAGTTTCTTGACCTCTTCTTGACCGATTTCTCGTATTAGTTGGCGCCAAGAACCTTCGTCGGGTTTTGTTGCTGTGGTAGAGGCTGCCACGCTGATCGGTGCACTGTGGGTTGGGCGGTCATACTGGCGATAACGTATATGCAGTGCGCGCTCGATAGATGTCGCCTCCTTGGAGAACTCATCCACACTTGTAGGCGCGTTTCGTACGAGGCCAGCGAACAGCTGCTCCTTAACGCCCCGCATGAGGTAGCTAACCTTTTTGGCTTCGGGCATATTAGGATCTGCTCGACGAAATAGCCGCCCCATGTCCTCAACAAACATCGTAACGGATTCATTTGGTTTCTGAATCCGTGACTCGAGGAGACGCTGTGCGATTTTTCGTCTTTCATTGCTCGCGAACGTGTCGAGAAACTTCTACCGGAACTCGTCCCAAGACGACCACACGCGATTCGTGAACCACGTTCGGGCTCCGTCTTGAAGCGGAAAATAAACGTAGCCCAATTTCTGTGTGGTGTTCCAACCATTAACATTCGCTGTGTGCTCGAATTCCTCGAGCCAGTCATGTGCATCCTCATATGCGTTTCCGTGGAAGTCAACCGGAAGTCGAGGGTTCAAAACAGTCACCTGTGTCGTGCTTGGGCTGGACATGTTGGGGCCAGTGCTTCCAGGTGCCGTCATGCTTTCTGGCACAGTCACGCTTTCCGGCAATGGACCAAACTCCGGGCTGAGGTCTAACAGGCGCCGGCTGCTGCGGTGAACGGGGGTGTCGATGCGCGGAAGTCTTTCTTGACCAGATGCGGGGCTGTTGTCAGGCGTCCCGAACATGTACCCAGCACCTCCACCAGTGTCACAATGCAGAAACAGCAGCAGTCGAATCTAGGAAACTCACTTTAATTGTACCAGAACACTGGCAAACTGATCGGAAGAGAACCTCGTCTTCTTCACTCGCTGCGCGTGTTCTTTGTTGTTCTCTTCGTGCTGCATATTCAATGTGGCAATATCTGAAAATTCATTATAAAGGTATATTCGTAGCACTATTATGCAATACTATTTATTTACTTCGTTATAAATGGTATTTCATCATATTCTAGTTTGCTATATCGAGTTGAGTGTATGCAGAATTGACACTGTGTGTGCAGAGACTGAGAAAGTTCGAAGCAGCACAGTGAATAAGTCACGACAACCGTTCAAGCAGTGCTTTGTTGAAGCCACAGATCAAAATGTACTACAGCTACCATAGTACCAGTTGAGCTCCAATTAGCGAAATCTTGTAGGAAGACGAACACTCCTGCTTCATGGTGTCTGGATCTTTGTTCAGCTGTACAGGCTCGAACACTGTGAATGTGTTAAACACCATGCCAGCAGCCAAAACCATGAGCGAGTAATGCAAAACTATTTCGTTCCACATCCGCCCTTAGAACTCCGCAATCGGTCGAAATAAACTCGAACCACGATATAATGCACCCGGATATAACGAAATATTGGTCGTAATCACAGTAAATGAATATAAGTGTTGCAGTAGATATAGCATTAGGAATAAACCTTTATAAAGAATTTTCAGATATAACAAACTTATTTTCATGAAAGCTGTAACTTGTTACAACGCGGTTCGAGAGCATACCGAGCCATGTCTACAATAGCGATTTGTTACGGGATGCAACAAAACACTGCAACACCTTCATGTACTGAACAAAACATTCGGAGGCCAACCCTATTCAGAACAAAATCTGGTGACTGTTTTGGCACAGGGTGCAAAGTTGAAGCTGTTAAAGAAATAAAGTTATTTGTATATACCAGTATTCTGCGTAGTAGTACAATTGCCACGGAGCCATTCGTTTTCTTTCGGAACATACTAATTGATCGCAAATTTTCCATTTCGTCATGGAGCAGGCGCACGTGCCAGCTTTAAAGGGCCCCTAAACCGCCTCCAATATTTTTTCAAACACTTCAAGTAAACACGTGCATCAAGCGCAGAACGCCGTTGCGATCAAAATTTTACACGTGGCAAGACTACAAGCAGCCGGCATGCCACAAATTTCAAGAAACAATCCCTCCTCCTCTCGGGGCCTTTAGGGCTTCCGCACAATGCCGATAAGTTGAATCACTGACGCGCAGCGCATTGATGCTGTGATTGGTCGAACGAGCAGCTCTCAACACTTGCTTGTTGTTCGCTGTGTTGCCCATGTGCCGTTGCTTTTCGTCGTGTTGCACCGGCATTGAGAATGCCATTAGCACGATACGGGTAAAAAGTGGCCAAAAATCGCCAAATGTACGTACCAACCCTTGTGGAAAGTGGTGGCGGCGGCAGGTCACCTCTTGCACAGGCGCTCCGGCACGGCATGTAACTGCACGGATCCATCACGTTCGCGATCCTTAAAAGGTGTGCGTGCAACGCAGTGTCCATACCGGTACAATTCGTATAAGCGCGAGTCGGCACGGCAGCAGCGGTTCGCCAACAAGCATGCAGTGGACGGAGTCGACGGAATCGCAGAAACTGGAAGTAGACTGTTTTTCGAACAGCACGGCAACGACGTATGCCGTGCAAAATTGGGAGGGGCACTCGGCAAGAGAGCAAAGCGGTTTTGCGAGAGAATACCAAAAGAAAGTAGCAAAGGAAACAGCAAAATCGCCACATTTTGATAATCAAACGCATCCAACTCTGCTATTACGGCACAGTTTTAGAAAAATTCTCACAGCTTTGTGTACGCTGTACACTTCTGCACAACTTTCTCACCACAACTGATTACGACCTCCAAGTGGTTCTAGGGGCCCTTTAACACTCATTTTCAAGTATGTATGAAGTTATTCAGCACAATCTGTGCATACTTTCACGTTGATATAATGCGTTTTTGCAGTTTTCTGTCGCATCATGATTGACGAGCAAAAATGTTCAACCTATCGCGGAGCAGTGACGTCAAAACTGGAATAAAAACATAAAGGAATACAACTGCACTCCACCTACTTTGGCTCCAGCAGAGGCGGTTGAGCAAGATGTGGTGCCAAATCCTCTTTGTGCTATTGCTTATGCAATAAAATGCACTACACACAGCATCACAAATTGCTCGTTGCAATAAAACAACACCCTTTGTTTGGTGACTGGCACGTCTTTTTTTTTAATATTATCACTTCTGAAGCAATAGGACGACTTTTGTCCATTGAACTAAATATGGCTGCCCTTGTTAAAGAGCATCCGGAAAAATTGGAAAAAAAAAAAAACCCTTCCCAACACCCTTGAAGATGACAATCCCCCCACTACTTTGCTTCAGTGCAAAACAATGTACAACAATCGTGGGCTCCTCATCTTCAGCCATCACGCGCAAAAGAGAAGGTTTCAATATGCCCGCTCTTTTCTGTTTCTCCGGCGACACGCGCACCGATTTTGAGCTTTGAAGGGAACGGCACATCAAACGACTAGTAGCAGCAGTTTTGTTGGTTTCTTTTTTCCTTTTGCAGTTCGGAATAGGAAAAAGAATAGAGAGAGAACACCGCAAAGTCACGTGGTGCGCACACACACAAATTTGCCCGTAGTGCGGCCATCCGCACGGAGTCCGTCGAAAGCTTCCGGGAAATCTCGCCACTGGGTGCAACGGCCGTTCATGCTCGCCTGAAGTAGACCAGCACGGCGAGCAGGAGGGCCATCACGGTCATGACGTAGAGGTCCCAGTCGGGACCAAGCACGTCGCTCGGGCTCATCTTGGGCAGTAGCTTGTCCAACTGTTGCTGTAATGACAAGTTGGCCAACTTTCGTCACCTGCAAAGCGCTAGTCTCCCAGACTTCACTGTGCGGAATCAAGGAGACACTGAAGCGAAACAATTATGCTCCAACCTCATTATAACAAAGTTGAATCTTAAGCAAAAATAGGTTCGTTGAATCCCAAAATTCGCTATAGAGGTTTATTCCCAACATTATCTACCGTATATACTCGTGTAAGGGCCGCACTTTTTTTTCGAAAATTTTGCTAGGTGCGGCCCTTACACGAATCAGGCCGATTTAGTACAGGCAGTACAGGCCAAAGGTCTGTACTGTTTATGCAACAGTAGCAGAGTGCAAGAGTCACAAATGACATGCCAGAAATGTTTTTATTCGGATTCCATTTCGCTGTCCTCGTTCTCGGAGGAGCTCGCCTCGGCGTCCGCGTCTTCCCAGAGACGGTCATCTTCGGTGCCGTTCATGGAGTTCGAAATTCCCGTTACCTTGAAGCTTTTAGCAACTACTTCTACTGACATGGCACGCCACGCATTCAAAATCCATTCACACACCTGTTGGAGCGACGCCCGCTTCAGCCGTCCTGTAGGGGTCTTCTCGTGGACGCCTCCAGCCATCCATTCAGAGTAACATCGGCGAAATTCCACTTTGAATGGTCTGTTGACGCATACGTCGAGCGGCTGCAGCACACTCGTCAGGCCACCGGGAATGACGGCCAAGTCCGTACGAGTTGCGGCAACTCGGTTCTTGACGCGGTCGGTCAAGTGGCCCCTAAAGCTGTCCAAAACAAGGAGGGCTTTCCGTTGTAACAGCCCTCCAGGTCTGTTTGCCCAGACGGTCTTAATCCAGTCAACGACCAGTTCCTCGGACATCCAGCCCTTCTCTTGCGCACGTACGACGATTCCCTGAGGGAACTTCTCTTTTGGGAGAGTCTTCCTTTTAAATACGACGTACGGCGGAAGCCTCCTGCCGTCTGCCGTGATGCACAACATCACAGTGCACCTTTGGCGTTCTGCACCAGTCGTGCGCACAGACACACTTTTCGCACCTTTTAAATCCACTGTGGTGCTTTCCGGTGCATCGAACCACACAGGTGTCTGGTCCGCATTCCCAATTTGGGACAGGTCGTATTCATGCTCCCTCCTGAGAGCATTCACGAAGCGATGAAACTTAATGACGTGGTCTTCGTACTCGCGCGGCAGTTTTTGGCAAATCGTCGTTCGGCGCCGAATAGAAAGCTGGTTACGGTTCATAAACCGCGTAGCCCAGCCCCGACTTGCCTTGAATTGTGCCGGGGGTATTTCCATGTGGCGAGCGATGCTGAGGGCTTTGACGCGTATCATGTCAGTCGATACGGCGTAGCCGTCCCTTCGTGTGTCGACGACGTAGTTGACGAGCTCGCTTTCGAGTTGCGGGTACTTGCACTTTTTCCCGCGAAACGCCTTTCGGCTCCTGTTAGTAGCGGCGAGGGCATCTTTCTGATTCATCCAGTAACGCACGCGCTTCTCATCGACGTCGTACTTTCGTCCAGCTTCCCGCTTCCCGTGCTCCTCGGCATAGTCAATCACTTGCAGCTTAAATGCTGCAGTGAATGATCTCAGATGCCGGCCCATCGTCCGTCACGTGCGCTGGCTTCTGCAGGGTTCACTACAACCAACAAAGTGACACCGACGACACCGATCTGAAGTCGCGCTGCCAACGTATCGACACGATGCTAGGAACGATGCCAACAAAGAGGCCGCACAAGGCAAATATGGCGGCGCGCTGTCAACAGCGTGGTCGGCGCGTCGGCGGAAGTAGAATAAAAGCGGAAAAGCGTGCAGCGCCATCTGGCTGTAAATGAACTAACTACACTTTTCTGGCGGGACATTTTGAACTTTTGTTTTTTTTTTTTTTCGAAATATCCGCTTTCAAAGTTGGGGTGCGGCCCTTACACGAGGGCGGCCCTTACACGAGTATATACGGTATTGCAAAACACTGTTGCTTTGTTATAACCAATATTTTGTTATATCCAGTTTCGTTATATTGAGGTTTGAGTGTAGTTTCGACTATTCAATCATACCCAGAAAACTAGTGGCAAATATTCCCCCTACCCCCAAAAAAACCTCCAACAATGATATCTAACTTATTTTCAGTACTGTCGACCCCTGTTTTGGAGCCATTACAGGGGGCATTTATTCGTAAAGAGCAAAGGATAATATTCCGAGCAGCATACTTGTTATAAATTATTATTTTTTTTTTTTTGGCCATGTAGGTTCAACTAATTTTCCTGACACTTGGTATATCCTCCTGAGTTCCGGCTATGGCGATTTGTCCAATATATTGGACATCAAATACTCCATCACTACAAAAATGTCAGCATGTTTTCTTCTTCAAAAACCAGTTGTCCAATATTTTGGACATCTACTAGTGCCCTCTATAAAGTTTTGTCAAAGTTGCACCAGGAGATTCAGAAACAAAGAAGAAAACATGGTGATGTTCGACAGAACAGCGTTCTAGAAGTTAAACGGCAAAAATTAGGGTCAGCTTTTTTGTAGTTTTTTTAAATATTTGTTAATTTTTAAATAACAACATGCAGTTATTCCAGAATTTCTCACAATTTTCTTCAGTAATATTGCTTTGTGTTGCTTCAGGCCCACTACTTAACGCTTTAATTAAGTTTCAGATCCAATTAATTGGACATCTGCCATACCAAAACCACAGGCATCACGGAAATAATAAGCCTCACTTTGTATCTTCGTCATCTACACACCCAGTTGTGAAATTTTCGGGAATTTCTGTGGACAAGAATCTAACCCGGAAGTCAGGAGGATATTAAGTGCTTGGTTCACTCAAAATTCACTGGACTTCTTACTGTTCAAAAACTCTGTAGAACGTAGCGGACGCAGTCAAAATATGACGTTACTGAAACGGAAACAGGAACTTCAAGGCGGCATCGCCACCCGCATTTTATTTTTGCGCGTTTCCTCGCTAACCAAGCAACTCCTTGCAGAACGCATGGTGTTTTCGGTATTACGAATGAGGTTAATGCTGCTGCAGGCAGCAGTTGTCTTATGCATGTGACCTTTCCGCGGAAAGCCGTAGTTAAGTTGAGGTTAGTTTTATGCACGCCAGTCACAACGCGGTTCGCCGAGAAAAAAAGGTGCCACTACGGCCGAGGGAAGATGGTGACGGTAGAGCCAACATGTCATAACAGTTTGGCGCTTTTCTTGGGCGACTAGAGTCTAGGTGGGTGAAATCCCAACATGAGATTGGCTCCTTAAGGATGGTCATCATCATACTGTAACTTTTAATCAAACAGGTTTGGAGCATAGTGATATCCTGGTTTTTGTTGTACGCTTCTCAGTTTATGAGAAAATGTTGCCCCCTAAAAGCACGAAAAAATGTTTGATGATTTCAGAAATACATGTTACATATGAAAAATCATAGTGTATTTGAAATTGGCAAAGAAATCTACGCAAGCTGGTGACAAAACTGTGTGAAAAACAAGGACAAGAGAGGCACACACGCTGCGCTTGAGTGTGTGCCCGCCCTAATGCTCGTTTTTTCACGCAGTTTCGTCGTAATGATTTACTAACTTGCCACGCGCTCAGTTTTTCTAAACACTGAGCTGAGCAAGTTTCATCAAAACTGATGAACAATCTAAAAAGTGTTCTGATGAGCAGGGTTTCTCTGCTCTCATGACTAGGATTTGGCGACATTTCCACATAGCACCATCTGTTGTTGGCGACAACGTTGCGCTGCTGTAAACGAATGGAAAATAAAAAAAAACATATCTGACAAGAAAAGCTACTTTAAATATCAAAATTATTAAAAAAGACTCCCAGATCTACACAGGAGAGACACAAACAAACATTCTGTTAAAATTTTAAGCATCACACTACAAACTGCATAGCTTTCTAGTGTGCTTAATGTATATTCAATGTATTTCCTACAGGCAGTATTCCATTGCCTTGAGGATTCGCGCGCTGCGAAGTGCGATACTGAAATTTCGCCAAAACGTTGGAGTAGGTCTCTGCAATATAGATGCTGGAGTTGTTTTTTGATAATTAGCTAATTTCAAAAGATATGACGTTTTTTCTCCTCTTTGCAATTCAGTTACAGCGGGGCACCGCTGCCGCCACCAAGAGATGGTGCCACATACCCCAAATCCAGGGAATGCGCCCCAAATCGATTGTCTAAAATTTTGTCGCAGCTGCCCTCAGGAGGGGGTAACGTAAACGAGACGCGGAGAAAGGGTTCGACGTGAACGAGTGCACCCACCTCTTGGAGGTAAGCGAACCCGTAAAGCAGGGCAAGTTTGACGAGCGCCAGGGCAACCGGCAGCTGGGCGTCTGCACTCGTCTCGGCGGCCATGTCGTAGTAGCGTTTTGCCAAGTGGATGTCCTGCGAAATGGTGGTGAGAAGCAACGCTCCATGCACCAGCTCCTTTTACAATGGTGTTCTAAACAGTTCTAGCATTTGGAGAAACTTTATGGAGCGGGAAGAGAGGCCACTTCGAAGAGGCAAGACAGAGTGTTGGGCTACTTCTGCGCACTTGCAGTGCAGCAGTTCAATGTGCGAACCAAGATTGTATATTGAACACGCATCATATGCCATCGGAACTCTTCACTACAACACATACACGTGCCTTCGTGTTAGAACTGGCATGCTGAGGAATGTCGCACATTGCAGCAGACATGCATCATTTCGAAAAATTTCTTCATTAAACAATATAGTATTTGTGCATCCAAATCTTCCTTTGCATGAAGACGTAATTTACGGGGTGCTAATGTAGCAGTTGTGTTGGTGGCACCGCTACATTATAACATGACGAATAGCTGATTAGCAAAAGAAAAAGAACTTGTCTACGTATTATCACCAGTTCTCCCTCATCAGAGAGGTTAGCTCAGAGACAAAAATGCCAAGCTGTCAACAAGAGAGGTTGAATGCAGAAGTGGCAGTGTTGATACTTTGGTTAGGCCGAATATAATATGTAAATGCATCAGCAAAAAAAGAGAGAGAAAGGAGAACGTTCGGAGCAATATGTAAAGGCTGTTGGCATGTTTGGTGCCAGGCCAAGAATTATTTTGGGCCCGAAATGCTCTACTGACATGTGAGGAGGCAAAACAGTGAACTTCGACACAGTTAGTGCAAGTCGCCCTCGAGTGGGTACATGTAGAGAAATCCATGCAGCTAAAGTAGACGCTTAGGCATATTGGCGCGGCATGCTAGAAAACAAACAGTGCGAAGAAGATAGAATGGGGAAAAAAAAAAAAGAGGGTGCGGACAGCGCTCGTTTGTGACCTTCCTTATGCTGTTCTCTAGAGAAACTAGATTATAACAAAATGACTCGAACAATGCAATAGGACCACCGCTTCTTTTTTTTTTTACTGCCACAATAGTTATCATAAAGACATGGACGTATAGTCACACCTGATCATAAAGAAGTTGCAAACCGACTATAGCTACATCATGCCCCAAACTCTGTTCTAAATTTCTACTAACACAGTGTGTAATGAATTCTGTCATAACTGATAATTCATTGTATCAGTATTCATAATACCAAGGTTTGGATGTAGCTTACGAGTTTTGTGAGCTCTGTGAATAGTGCCCAAAATGTCCAGCATCCTTACGTCAACGTAAAAAAACTAGCAGCTCTCTATGTTTGACTTCAAAGCCGTGTTAAAAACAAAAACAGCATAACACATGGAAGTAAATGGGAGCATGGAAAACAATGCAGTATTTGGTTTCCACAGAGAGAATATGGAACGGTAGTTGTTTTGCAGCAGCCGAATTTCGTAACAGACCTCGTTTCATAACCACTGCACCGGTCGCGTCCCATTCTGTCGGTCCTCTAACTTTCATGGAAAAAAAGGATCCAGTACACAGCCATGCGAACCAAGAAGGCGCTTATTCACACTTTCTTCAACTCGGTAAAGCCCACTAGCCACATTATACAACCAACAGCAAGCCAATGTAACACGTTCCTGAATTGAGGTCGTTTGACCTGCAGAGACACAGCAACAACCAAGCAAGAAAACCCTACCACTGGGTGATGTCTCTATAATGAACGCGTATTCAACCATATGGGAAAGGTAGTTAGTGGAGCACCACTAAGGCTCCCCATCCAGCCCGTGAGAGTTGACTGCGTGAAGCTTGGTTAAAGATCAAAATGCACCTTCAATGCTAAACCTCGCTAATGGGTTTAACACTGCCTCCCCTTCACATGAAACTAACCTAACTTTTCTTAACTGTCCTGGGGCACTAGCTTAAATACAATCTGCAAAAAGAGAATGACCCGTCTTTGCTTTGATTTTAACGGCAATTAAATGATCTAACCTACTAGTCGGCGACTCATGATGGTGTTACCTTGTACACAAAACCGATCACCAGGTAGCGCCAGGTACCCACCTTCTTGATTAATTTATTGATTGACTCATTGATACGTGGGGTTTAACGTCCCAAAACCACCATATGAGTATGAGAGACGTTGTAGTGGAGGGCTCCAGAAAATTAGACCACTTGGGGTTCTTTAACGTGCACCCAAATCTGAGCACACGGGCCTACGGCATTTTCGCCTCCGTCGAAAATGCAGCCGCCGCAGTCGGGAATCAATCCCACCACCTGCGGATGAGCAGCCGAGTACCTTAGCCACTAGACCGCCAGGGCGGGGCACCCACCTTCTTGAGACCCAGCCCTTGCTCATGCATGTAGCCGAGGTTGAACATGGCCTGGGCATTGTGCTGCTGCTCGGACGCCATACGGTAGTGTGTGGCAGCCGTCTCGTAGTCGATGTTCGTGCCGTATCCGTAGTAGTGGTAGTCGCCCAGCTTCACCCGTGCTACCGAGTAGCCTGCAGTGCACATCGGCATCGCCCGCTTAAAAATGCACATGAATTTAGAAAAACTGTACGAAATTGTTCTAGGAAGAATAAAAGCGTCGATTTGTAAACCAGAATAACTAATTAGTTGAAGGGGTACTGAAACAAAAGCTTTCGCCCCGCGTACTCTCGCTGCATTGTGTTGCTGGGGTGCCCGTTAGTCATAACACGGGCACGTCATTCGCTGCAGCACTCGACAGGTAATTAACTAAACACCCCTCATTATTGACCAGTCTCACTTCAGTTTGGGAGAGCTCCAAAAATGACAAGCCGGTGGGCGCAACTATCACCACCTAGCATGTGCAGCTCTCGACCAAGGGGCACACAGAATTGTAACGCACTTCTGGACAACCCGCATCATGAAATCTTTTCAAATAGGAAACGGGACTGCAGCGTCGCCAAACACAAAACTTTCAACTCGTGCACAGTGGCCACGCACTCGCGACCAACCACCGAGAAGTATAGACTGCAGGAAGAAATGCCGCAAAAGAAAAATTGGAGATTAAGGGGTCTCCAAAGGTCCCTTTTGGTGGTGTCAATGCCTTTAATATTCAAGTTTCAATAATGCTGTCTGCTGTAAAATACCTTTGAAGCTATATACGATGTTGATATTTTGCAGATGGTATACAAATGTTGACGGGAATCGATGTCACAGGCTATCTTGGCCGCGAAAATTTGTGTCGGTGCCCCTTTAATGAAAATTACACACATACCTCATTATAACAAAGTTGCATCTTACACCAAAATAAGTTCGTTACATCCAAAAATTTGTTTTGAAGGTTTATACCTAGCACTATTTTTACTGCAAGACTATTTTTTGTTTACTTCACTATAACCACTTTTCGTTATATCTGGGTTCGTTATAAAAAGGTTTGAGTGTATAATAAATTTTTGCAAGCTAAATACTAGATATTAATTACGGTCAATCTATTGCCATCGGCAAATCCAAAATGGCCGCCCCCTACGTGCGTCGGCATGGCGCATCGGCCATTTCTGCCTGTGTGCGGCACTTCGTACGTGTGCTGAGGAGTTCGTCATCTAGTAGTGCATTAGCATCGACGGCGTGGAAGGGCCGACTCCAAAAACTCGAGTGCACCACGATGCCGCTTTTAAAAGAAAAGTCATCGCGTGTGCAGAAACGGACGGAAATCGGGCCGCATCGCGGTCGTTCGGAGTACCTGAAACGTGCGTGCGGGACCGGCGGAAACAAAAGCAGAAGATTGTCGACAGCAAAGCTTCACGCAAAGGCTTCAGTGAACCACAGCAGGGTCGATTTCCGCAAGTGCAGGCTGATTGGAACCACCTTCCCTCTTCCGTTGTATCAATAACAGACCCTTTGTTATTCAAGACTGCAATTTCTCAGCAATGCTTGTAACTATACGCAGTTTCCATTATCTATCTTTGTCTTGTATGTGCTTGAATTCTTATACATTTTTAGTTGACTTATGTTGCCTTCCTGATTTGCGCATCTGATACTTGTTTCTTTATTTTGTCTTTTTTTCTTGTGTGTTATATATGTTGTACCCACCCCCTCTATAATGCCCTACGGGCCCTGAGGGTATTCTTATAAATAAATAAATAAATAAATTAAAGAGCTGCTCGGCGAGTATGTGCTTGAGCAGCGAGTGGCCCGTGACGACAGAACTGCTCCAAGTGCAGGCTATTCAATTAGTCTTAGAAAAAGGTCTAATGCGGAGCCAGTTTAAAGCGAGCAGGTGCTGGCTAACTAACTTTATGAAGAGGAAAGGCTTTTCCCTACGAAGGGGAACATGCATATGCGAAAAGTTTTGCGGAGGAGTACGATGAAAAGCTTCACAGTTTTCAGAGGTTCGTTCTAAACTTGCGGCGCAACAACGGCTGCCTGCTTGCGCAAATCGGGAATGCCGATCAGACACCTCTTTACTTCGACATGCCTGGCACCACAACCGTCGAGAAGGGGGCGAAGCAAGTTCGCGTGCTGACATCGGTCCACGGTAAAACTACAGTGACGGCAATGCTCTGTTACACGTCAGATGGGCACAAGCTTCGCCCGTACCTCATATTTAAATGGAAGACAATCCCGAAAGGAATCGTTTTTTCGAGTGGTGTGATCGTGCGGGCCAGCGAAAAAAAATGGGTGCGCGTTGCAATCGATGTCTTACTTTTTTTTTTTTTTCGCGGTGGAAATCGGGTGCGCGTTACAATCGAGGGTGCGGTAGAATCGACTAAATACGGTAGTTGAGTTAGCACCAAGCCAACATATGCCATTCTGTGCGATATCATGCAGGCAACCTCAGAGGCCGTTGGAGACCAGTTTTGATGTTCTCTTTCACTTGAGCGTAGAAAAAAGTATTTTTTTCCTCACCTTGTGTGGCAGCTCGGTTCCAGAACAACAGGGCCCAGGCAAAAGTCTCGTTCTTCGGAAAATGCTTGCTCTCACCTGTTGGACAGACGTGACGACAACCTTACGCCAAACGGCATAACTACAGACTAAAAAAAACTACACTCCCAAGGTTTTCCATGCCACAACCACAATATGATTACGAGCCACGCGATGGAGGAGGACTTCGGACTAATTTTGACCCCTCCGGGGGTTTTTTTAACGTGCACTCAAAATAGGCATCATATTTCTCGATGTACAGGTCGCATATAAGATGCACCAGTGAAAATATTGAGAAAAAAAGTGCCGTCTTACACAATACAAAATACGGTACCGAGCAACTTTCGCATTCCGCCCCGTGATCCTGTGGATGTAGCCATGACCGGAAAACTTGTGGGGGCTCACCAGAGGGGTACATCTTTACAATTGTGCACACAACCATCCGTACAATACAAAGTGCCCATCACATCCTAGCATTTTTATCATTTTAGCATGAAAACCCCCACATGGAGCAACAGCAACACACAAATCCATCTTTCACGTGCCCAGTACTCATGAAAGAGTGCGATTGAAGACTACGTCGGTGATACATTCCGGTTTCCCGAGCAAGGTAGCGTGCTCCACTTCGTAAACTTTTTCTTTTGTTTGTTCTTGTACTGTTCCCAAGAAGAACAAGTTAATCAAGTAGTATTTGCGTAAATTCGGTGTTTATCTTTATACAGTTCACATTTATAAATATTTGTTATGTAATAAATAAAAAAATTGTTTTTATGAATACCGGCTGTTCAAATTGAAGGCCAAATTATATGAGGCACCCTTTCAACGAACATCTGAAATCTCGCCATATTACCTGCCCAGCGGTCTAGTGGTTAGGACGCTCGATTGCTGACCCGGAAGTCGCAGTATTGAATCCAAGCCTCGGTCGCCGCATATTCTATGGAAGTGAAAATGTTGGAAACCCGTGTACGTCAGACTTAGGTGCACGTTAAAGAAACCCGGGTGGCGGAAATTTCCGAAGCCCTCCACTACAACGATCCTATCATCGCATCGTGGTTTCGGGGCGTTAAACCCCAGGTGTTATTAAATATTGCAACATTAGCACACCCCTAAGTACTGGTGAAGCTCCACCCCCAAGCTTGACCTTCGCTGCCGCAGGATATTCACCGCGAATACAGTGAAATACATCGTGGCTGAAAATCGCAGAGCCCACCTCTGTCCAGGATAAAGGCCGCGTTGCTCTGGGCCACCTCGTAACCGAGCTCGGCGAGGAACGCATACTTCACGAGGGCGATGTCCACTCGGCCGTCTCGGTAGTCGGAGTAAGCCTGCATCAGCTTCTCGCTCCACCGGCCGCGCTCCGCCACGTTCTTAAAGAGCTGCACACAGAAACGAGGCCACGAGTTTGTTTGTGGTGGCCACAGTGCACTGTAGGTGCGCTTGTTTGCGGCATTACTGGCGTATCATTACCGTCTGGCTCACGTAAGGGTCACACTTTTTGTTATTATGCTTACAAGGTATGAACCTCAAAAGATGCAGAGTCATTCTGCACATAATTTGTGGTAATTAAGATTATTCAGGGATCACAAATCAACGTGAACAGCATCATTTCCATAATGAATTTGTAAAGGGCCAGTAAGCAACCTCACAGTTGAAAATTTGGGATGAAAAGAGAACCGCACATGCTACCACAAGAAGTTTGTGAATAAGGGCTACAATAAAGAGGTTACAGGGCTAAGAACAATCAACTCCGACTGGCTCCAGTTTCTCATTCGATCTACCCCTCTTCGGATACGGAGAGGGGTACACACATAGCCTTCTGTCGTGGCTATGCTGACTCCAGCAAGGTAGCAAAACATAGGCGATTACGACATCAGCATGCTGTAAATAACCGACCAAGGTTTCCTCCATGTACTGCTCAAGTCAGCATGCCACGGCGAGGAAGTGTGGGACAAAGGCACGGGCAGGGAACACAAACATGTGGCACGCGTACCAACTGCGTGGCCTAAACTGCATCACTGCAGGACCATAGCAGTGTCTCGTAGAGCATAACTCCAATCAACAAGGTCAACACTACGTAAAGCTGCCCGTCAACAACATTACGTTCCTTCACGGGCGGAGATGACTGGGCAAGAACTGGAGAGGAGTGCAGGAATAGTTTTTTTTTTTTAAGTGAACCACCTGCGCAACACGAAATGCTGTGAAATCGAGAAAATGCCATTGGTATGGCCTGCCACAGAATTCGACGAACTTGTTTCGGAAGTGAAGAAATAGAAACAAACCCTGTTTGCTTTCATGCAAGTTGTGCGATCTGGCTACTCGCCTTAATTATCAACAGCACTGGTACTCTCTCTCAGTTCGTTGCTGAATTTGTGGTTAAAGACGTCTTCTGTGCCACCCACACCATTGGAGACGCCATTACTTTAAGTTAATAATTACTTCAGTTCTTAATCCACACAAATCTGTGTAGGATGCACATAGATCGAAACACAACATCCAAGATTTGCAGTACAACGACAGGTGTGCGTGATTGATTGAGAAAACTATGTGTTGGCATCAATCTAGCCATTGAATTTATTGTTGGCTCCAATCGAAGCACCCAAATCGAAATTACACCAATATGCCATGAACTCAATAGGGCCAGAATGATAGCATGCACGCTACTTAGTCCTAAATTATCATGCTTCCACCCATGAGCATTGCAAGCTTGTGCCTTCTGCCCAGATCGGAATGTGGTTGCCAACGTTTGCAGCCCCACCTTGTGCGACAAACATGACTGACACGAAAACGTGCTTAGGGCGCATCATGCACTCACCTCCGCGGCGGTGCTGCATGAGCGCATGGTTCCCGTGCCCGTGGCGTGCATCTGCGCCAGGTTGTAGAAGGCCAGCACGTGTCCCGACTGGGACGCCAGAGTGTAGAACTTGATGGCCATTTTGAAGTCTCGCAGCACGCCCAGCCCGTCTGTGAATCGTCACAGGAAAAGAACGCACGAATGTCAAAGATTCCATGCTGCGAGAGCAATTACTAATGTGCAGCATTCTACGAGTAGCAAACTAAGTTTCAGAAGCGGTCTCTGGGCCGCAATGAAAGAGAATTTCCGAATTCGTATTTGAAAAAATAGAGTGAGTTTTATGCCATGAAAACTGTCGGCGACGCTGTAAGCATGCAAGTTTAAGAAGGATAAATTAAAACAGCTTAGCCTTATGCCGAGTGTTATCATCATTCAGAATTATATATCTATTTATTCACTCCCTCCCCTGATCACATGACCTGCCTAACTACTGCTACACACAAACCTTGATGTAACATAGATATAACAAAATAATGTTTATAACGAAGTAAACAAAAAAATATAGTCTCGCAATAGGTACAGTGTTAGGAATATACCTTTATAACGAATTTCAGATATAACAAACTTATTTTGATGTAAGATAGCATTTTGTTTAGGTTTGTGCGAATAGTGAATTTTAGGTTCGAAGCGAATAGCGATTTTCATCAAATAATTTGGAATCGAACACGAATGGTATGTATGACATATAAAAAAAAGAAAATATTTACCATGACCTTACTAACCTGCACAATATTTTTTAAAAATTGAAATAGGGACTTCATTCAAATTCCATTTTTTTTTTCATTCAAAGGAAGTCCAGACAACCTTGAGTAGCAGTTTTGGTAGGATGCGAGTGATAAGATACTTAACGTTTTAAAACCGGGCTAAGGTGCTCGCTTGCTAAGTCCAAGCTCTTACTGTATAAGAAGAGGCCCAGAGGCGGTTCTCACCGGTCCTGGAAGCCAGCAATGGAGAGCCACATTACGTTATTCACCGGTAACGGCTCCCCAGTTCCGCGGGTGGACACTATCAGGGTCCTTGGAATGTTTATCGAGTCTAACGGAGCCAATGGAGCCGCCGTCAAACGCATTTGTTCCAAGACCGAAAGCGCCCTCGGACTGATTCGAAGAATCGCTAACAGGCACCGCGGAATCAGGGAGGACAATCTGATCCGGATTATCCACGCATTCGTGCTATGCCACCTCGCTTATTCGGCGGCTATGCACAACTGGCTCGTGTCGGAGCGCAACAAAATCAATGCCCTAATCAGAAGAGTCTTCAAGCTGGCCCTTGGCATTCCCGTTCAAACGCACACGGAAGACCTCCTGAAGTTGGGAATCCACAACACGTTCGAAGAAATTGTCGAAGCCCAAGAGTTTGCACAGTTTGTCAGACTGTCTGGCACCCCAGCGGGTAGAGCCATACTCGGCATGCTGGGACGAAACCCCACGGTTGTCGGTCCTGACGCTGTGAAGCTGCCCAACGACGTAAGATCCAAGATCCAGATTGCGCGGATGCCGCGCAATATGCATCCAACCTACAACGAAGCACGAAGACGAGCCAGGGGTAAATCTCTGCTCGCCAGTGCCCGCTTGGACAAGGATCGAGCCTGCTTCGTCGATGCTGCTTCGTACATCCAAGAAGAAGCCTTCTACTCAGTGGTCGTCGACTGTGATTGCAGAGTCATCAGCTGCGCTACCATCCGCACTTCTAGTTCCAGCGTTGCAGAGCAGGTTGCCATTGCTCTTGCATTGACGGACGGTGTACATGACACAATTTATTCAGACTCCAAGGCCGCTATCAAGGCCTTCCAGATGGGCATGATGGCTCCCCAGGTCCTACAGATTATTCAAAAAGTCAAAGACCTCAAAAATCACTCATTGGTCTGGTTTCCTGCGCACCTTGGAACCATTAAGGGTGCCTCGCTCAATCCCAACGAGGAGGCGCACTCGGCTGCACGAGGTTTGACTGACCGTGTGCCGGGTAACGCGTCATCTCCTGGGTGACCTGAGCCTCTCTGCTCGTACAACGAGATATGCAAGCACCACTATCTGTCAAGAAGACTGCTGCCTCTACCACACTCCTCGCTATGCAGGGCCCAAGCTGTTACTCTCCGACTGCTACAAACAAACACTTACCCGAGCCCTGCGGCACTGCACACAATGTACCCTGAACGGTTTCCAAGCCCGGACTGCCCCCTGTGTGGTGGTTATGCGGACTTCGAGCATATACTGTGGGGCTGCGCCTCTGCCGGTCCCCCTTTCACCCAAGAGGAAATGAAGCGACTCATTAAGGCCCAGGACCAGACCTCTCAAATCCTGGCCGTCCAGAGGGCCCGCGCGAGGGCCATCAGGTTTAACCTGATGGTTCCCGAGTGGGCCTAGCCAGGTGACGCCGAGTTTACTCGCGTCTATTGTGGACCGAATAAAGTTGTTTCACTCACTCACTCACCATGACCTTACTAACCTGCACAATATTTTTTAAAAATTGAAATAGGGACTTCATTCAAATTCCATTTTTTTTTTCATTCAAAGGAAGTCCAGACAACCTTGAGTAGCAGTTTTGGTAGGATGCGAGTGATAAGATACTTAACGTTTTAAAATTTAATATACTTGAAGCATATGAGCCATCATAACAAGCTTAATACAACGAATAATTGGTATGAGGGTAACATGTTCCTTTAAAGGGGCCCTGCAACACTTTTTCGAGTAGCCATAGAGCCAGTAAACATGCTTTTCGCCTCACATATTTATCACCCCAAAGTCCTACAATCAGTCCAGTACAAGCACAGTTCCAAAAATTTGTTGCAGGTTGCAATTGCATTCTCTCTTCTCGCCCTGACGAAATAGCTGGAAGTTATGCAGGGAAGAATGGCGCAGCGGAAAAAAATATGTCACTCGCACCTCGTGACCTCGAGCACATTTTTTTTTTTCTTCCTGATACGCGGCTTTTTAGTGCAATCGCGCACGTACTCGTGAACAAGCTGCGGCCTCCCACAACGACCTCGGTAATGACGAGCACGCCATGCTCAAATCAGCCAATGGCTGTGACCAGAGCCGTATATTCCTTCTTGGCTGTGACAAGCGATTTGCCGGGGGAAGAAAGCAATTTCTAGCTTTGAAAACATATTGCGAATTGCAGGCCGCGTGCAGCGCTATGAAATTTGCCCCGCGTATTCTCGGTAGCCTCGACTACCGATCGACTGCGTTTTCTGACCACGTTCAGCAAGTTTTAGGGACCTCTAAACTTGAAAAGGGGCTTTGCGGCAAAGCAAATTCCCCTGAATAGGTACTTTCACGGCTAAGCATTCCTACATTGCAGTGAAACCACCTTTACAAATGATGACATGCAGGTTAATATACACCTATTCGTTCATTGCGAATATTTCGAAAATATTCGATAATTTAAATTCTAATTGAAGCGAATTCGAATACCAGGCTATTATTTCAAATATTCAAAGCATTAAAATATTCGCACAAGCCTCATTTTGTTATGACGAGGTTTGAGCGTACTTCTTTGACGATGACACAGGTAGACTAAAGAGAACCTTGATGTAGAAAAAATAACTATAAATGTGCCTGGATCTACAAACAATCTCAAAGTAGAACATTAACTAATTCAAGCATAAACACTAATAAGAAATTTCGAACGAAAACAAAATGGGATAGAGTTATATCTTCCAAGATTCCCAATGGTGTGTTGCAGCTGTTGGCATGTCTGAAAATGATCCAAGTTTATCACAACGAGATAGAATACAGATTCACGCTGTATGTCTCGTAAAGTGAACGTGCCGATCATGTTATATCACACAGTGCACTTTTAAAGCTTCATATGCCAAGCTTTCAATCAACTGTATGCAAGGAAATCCAGATGGTTTAGGTTATTCTGATGGCTTCACCTACGATATTTTATACTGCTTGTCAACTTCATTTGCCTAATTATACATTTCCCATATAAATTATGCTGAACATTGAACGAACCCACAGCCAAAGGCTAGAAATGTCATGCATAGCCTAACGACAATAAATCTCGTCAACTTGACTGAACACAAATGGCAGCTCACTGTAGTACATGTTGCCCAGTTGAAGCTGGCCGTCGACCCATCCTTGATTTGCGGCGAGCGTGAAGTACTTGAACGCCTTCTGATAGTCCTGCAAATGAGAAAAACGACATCATTAATAATGACACAGCAGCGAAATCACTAACTAAGCTGCGAATTTCTCGCTGCTGGACACCCAACTTCAGACTAAGGCATATTCATTAAACCACACAAACTTTTCTCTTCCTGTGAATGTTCCTCGTTAAAATGAAATGACTGCACACTGAATAGAATAGATAATGAATGCACTCGTAACTAAATTTCTTATACATAATTTCTCAGTTAGTGCATTTATTTGAGCTGCTTGGTACAAACTGAATGAACCTGCCATGCAAGTGTTTCAAAGACCAGAAGCAGATAAGGGTGGTCTAGAGCTTATTTAAAACCACAGTGTGCATTCCGCCGAGGCCCTTGGCATATACAAGCTGCCCTAGGTTATTAACGCAGCCAATTCTTACAGGTACGCTCGTGACCACAGGCTCCAAAGCTTCGTCGTCGTCATGATCCAATTCCTCCAAATCGCTCTTGTGGCGAACTTCATTCACAATGTCCTGATCCGTGCACGATTCTGCAGTGTCGGCATCATCGTCGGCCGTAATGAAATCATCCATGCAGATGCCCAGCCCTCCCGTGCCAGAGCTGACGACGCGCTGCCGCGAATTGCCGCCGGAGTGGTCCAGATCGGAAGCTTCGGGCTCGGCATCGGGTCTAACGTCAAAATCAGTTTTTCGCACATGTAGCCGGGAGTGCCGCAAACGAAGTCTTCACCATCTTCACAGCTGAATACAGGGACAACCGAAGCTCTAAGTTGGCTGCCGGGCGGTCAAGCTAAGCGGTCGCAGTTTCGATGTTGTATTGAGTAGCAGGAAAAGGTGCAAAAAGCCTCCCGTCCGCCATCCTGATCACACGCACACCAACAGCAAGCAAGAACACATGCACGGCATACACTTTTCCCGATAAAATTTGTGCTGCCGTGAAGCCCCACTTTAGGGTCAAACAAATGTCAATTCATCCCCAGGGCTTTTTTTTTTTTTTTTTTTCAATTTACGAGCTTGTTATACTGACTTACTGCTCCAAGTACAGTAAATTTTAAAACGACATATTTTACAGGTGATCGCTTGCATTCTACGGAGAGTCATACTATATACTGCAACTATATTCAAAGTTGTTTTAACTTTGAACCAAAAAGATTGATATTTTCACATGCCTTATTTCAGTTTCTAAAATATACTGTGCAGCTTAGTTGTGTCATGACAAATATGCCCATTCTTCTTTACAATTTGCGATATAGACTACTTGAATTTATTTCAAAATAATAGTACCAAATCACCCTTCACTTCGAACCTAAATTTTCCATTCACGTAAGCCTAGCAATCAGTACGAAATAATTTTACAGCCTATACGAATAGAGCCAGGGTTTGAATAGCACATAACAGGGCACGGGTTGTAAGAGGTAAAATATGTTACATTTCAAAATTTGCCATACTTAGCTAACATGAGCCAGTATAACATGCTTACAATCTTTTGATCATGTCGATCGAAGAGTCGGTAATATGCCCATTTAACTACAAAGCGTGGCTGTGCTGCAGTGCACATTTCCTCTGAACAGGCAGCTTCACAGCTCAGTGCACCTCATGCACAGTACAAGTGACACTTCACAGCAGTGAAATCGCCTTTACAGGCGAGTTATATATCGTAGAATATGTCTATTCATTCGTTCGGAATGCATTGAAATTTTAGAAATCTTAACCTCGCATGTCGTGGTTTGCATGCCACTGGCACTCCCAGGAGCAAGTGTGCCAGGGTGTCCAGTACGCTGCAGAGCGGGAACATGTAGCCACGTGTCGTCGAGTAGAGGCAGTGCATTAATATGCCATGTATGTAAGTGATGCTTATGCAAACCACGACATGCAACTGGAGCGGGACCAAGCTCCAAGAATAAACGACGACCACCTAATAGAAGCTTGCGAGGCCAAGCTCGTCCTCGAGGACCTGGAATACCAGCGACAACTCGTCACCAGGGCTAAGAGGGCAGTCGAACCCAGAGGGTTCCTGGACTAGGGAACCCTCCCACTTTAGGGTGATAACGGGCCTCGCTCGGAACACTGTTTCTAAATAAAGGTTTAGTTCTCTCTCTTTCTTAACCTCGCATTAAAGCAAATTCAAGTTCTGTAGTACAAGTTAGAACATTCAAGGAACTTGAATATTCAGGCAGGATTAATCGTTACGTTACCCACCTTTTCTACGCCTTTTCCGTGCAGGTACATAAGTCCCAGACCACTCTGCCCCACAGCATTACCCTGAAGAAAAGACAAAAAACAAACACGGGAACTTGTACGTTGAGGTGACCTGCAAAAGAGCAGTAGCTGAGCATGCATGCATGCAACGGTACAAGAATTCAATCAAGAGTTTGTCACAATAATGGACAAGTTTAGCCGGATTTACTTAATACAATTTTATAATTTTATTCTCCACTGATTATAATGGCAATGTACCATTTTTACTTCAATGTAACAAGAGATTCCTTTACTTTTGCTTTTTTTTAGACGTTTGCTACCTAAAATTGACGCTCGCGTTACAATCGAATAGTAAAAATACTGTTTTTTTAATAGTACCGTAATTACTCGAATCTAACGCGCACCTTTTTTCCGGTTAAGCGAGTTCATAAATCGAATGCGCGTTAGTATCGAGTACGAACAAAAAAATTACGGCCAATCTATTGCCATCGGCAAATCTAAAATGGCCGCCCCCTACGTGCGTCGGCATGGCGCGTCGTCCATTTCTGCCTATGTGTTTCTCATGTGCGGCACTTCGTACGTGTGCTGAGGAGTTCGCCATCTAGTAGTGCATTAGCATCGACGGCGTGGAATGGCCGACTCCAAAAACTCGAGTGCACCACGATGCCGCTTTTAAAAGAAAAGTCATCGCGTGTGCAGAAACGGACGGAAATCGGGCCGCATCGCGGTCGTTCGGAGTTCCCGAAACGTGCGTGCGGGACCGGCGGAAACAAAAGCAGAAGATTTTCGACAGCAAAGCTTTACGCAAAGACTTCAGTGGACCACAGCAGGGTCGGTTTCCGCAAATTAAAGAGCTGCTCGGCGAGTATGTGCTTTGGCAGCAAGCAGCACAGCGGCCCGTGACGGCAGAACTGCTCCAAGTGCGGGCTTTGCAATTAGTCTTATAAAAATGTCTAATGCGGAGCCAGTTTAAAGTGAGCAGGTGCTGGCTAACTAATTTATGAAGAGGAAAGGCTTTTCCCTCCGAAGGGGAACATGCATATGCGAAAAGTTTTGCGGAGGAGTACGATGAAAAGCTTCACAGTTTTCAGAGGTTCGTCCTAAACTTGCGGCGCAACAACAACTACCTGCTTGGGCAAATCGGGAATGCCGATCAGACGCCTCTTTACTTCGACATGCCTGGCACCACAACCGTCGAGAAGAAGAGGGCGAAGCAAGTTCGCGTGCTGACATCGGTCCACGGTAAAACTACAGTGACGGCAATGCTCTGTTACACGTCAGATGGGCACAAGCTTCGCCCGTACCTCAAATTTAAATGGAAGACGCTCCCGAAAGGAGTCGTTTTTTCGAGTGGTCTGATCATGCGGGCCAGCGAGAAAAAATGGGTGCGCGTTGCAATCAATGTCTTACGTTTTTTTTTTTTTTCGCGGTGGAAATCGGGTGCGCGTTACAATCGAGGGCGCGGTAGAATCGAGTAAATACGGTAGTATTACTTTTAGTAATAGTATTATTAGTATTGTTCAGCCTACGATTGCGGTCGCCTTACAATGGAGTAAATACGACAGACAGAACACTGTATTTGAGCCTTGGCAAACTGTGACAGGGAAAAATGAAACAGCTACTCCATTCAGGCCTTGTAATTCCTGTAACCTTACGTGCAGCCACTTCTTATGGGTACAAAAGACGAGCGAGCAAGCACACAAATCTAATGCACATGACTGAACGAAGGCAGCAAGGTCACGGTAAACGTTCATTTTTCTGTACAAAATTCTGTGTTTGAGCACACTTTCGTGTAACGTTTCTCTGCAGGGACGAAGCATCCATTCAAAATTTACGATTGCTTCCCTTATCAGGAATATGTGGAAGGGGGGGGCAAGCGCACTTTCATGAGCGGATACCTGGCCTACAATTTTTCTTCCTACTGCATTGCACAATGCTTCCTCCCTCTTTCATGCTGGGAGTTGGGACGTTCACCGCTTCACCCGCTTGTTTGTCAAAAACTTTACAGTCATACCCACATCCGTTTCTGCTGTACTTCCAGGTTTTTTTTTTCAAAATTATACGCTCCGACTGAGCTCACAATTATATTCCTGACATTTATTTATTCTCTTGTTTATCGAAAATGTCGATTTTGCCAAAGCGAACTGTAGCATGGCCACTCAAGCACCACTTTGGCATTTCAGTGACAAACCGTGCACTATTAGAGAGTGCGCAAAAGACCAGCTGCGAAAGTGCAACCCAAGAAAAACGCCGTTTTGTGGGTGTGGTGCCGTTCGCCCGTAGCTCGAAGATATGCTCATGGACTCTGTGCGGCAGGGTTCATGCACGCTTGGTGCCAGTGACTGTGATACCGTTTGCTGCAATGCTGCGGAGCATGTGCCGTGAGACACCGTGTTCTCAAGAGAAGAGTAACCAGGCTCACGGGAGCCTCGATTCACGAGGTGCAAAGCATTCTCTCTCCTCTGCCGCATATCCTTCTGTCAAAAGTTGCCGGAGAATTTTGAGGTGAAGCTTGGGAACTTTAAGTACTTCCTGATCCAACTTTGAGAAAACTACACTCAAACCGATATAACAAACCCAGATATAATGAAATATCAGTTATAACAACGTAATTGAAGAATACTCTTGTAATAGATAATACTTTTACAGCAAATTATTGTATATAATGAACTTACTTTCGTGAAAGATACAACTTTATTATAATGAGGTCCGAGTGTACACGACAGGGCAAATTGGCAGCGCTGATGAAACCCTTGCGTAGTTTGACATGTCTTTGTCAACCAAAATGATGGAGCGCAGCATTAGAAACATCAAATTCTTGTCCAGTGACAACAGCTACCGTAATTACTCGAATCTAACGCGCACCTTTTTTCCGGTTAAGCGAGTTCATAAATCGCATGCGCGTTAAAATCGAGTGCGAAAAAAAAATATGGTCATTCTATTGCCATCGGCATTTTCAAAATGGCCGCCCCCTACGTGCTTCAGCATGGCGCGTCGGCCATTTCTGCCTATGTGTTTCCCATGTGCGGCACTTCGTACGTGTGCTGAGGAGTTCGTCATCTGGTAGTGCATTAGCATTGACAGCATGGAAGGGCCGACTCAAGAAACTCGACAAGTGCACCACGATGCCGCTTTTAAAAGAAAAGTCATCGCGTGTGCAAAAACGGATGGAAATCGGGCCGCATCGCGTTAGTTCGGAGTTCCCGAAACGTGCGTGTGGGACTGGCGGAAACAAAAGCAGAAGATTGTCAAAGATTCATGCAAAGGCTTCAGTGGACTACAGCAGGGCCGGTTTCCGCAAATTGAAGAGCTGCTCGCCGAGTACGTATGTGCTTGAGCAGCGAGCGGCCCGTGACGACAGAACTGCTCTAAGTGCAAGCTATGCAGTTAGCTTTAGAAAAAGGGCTAACGCGGAGCCAGTTCAAAGCGAGCAGGTGCTGGCTAACTAACTTTATGAAAGGAAAGGCTTTTCCCTCCGAAAGCGAACGGGCATGCGCCAAAACTTGCCGAAGGAGTACGAAGAAAAGCTTCACAGTTTTCAGAGGTTTGTCCTAAACTTGCGGCACAACAACGGCTACCTGCTTGGGCAAATCGGGAATGCCGATCAGACGCCGCTTTACTTCGACATGCCTGACACCACAACCGTCGAGAAGAAGGGGGTGAAGCAAGTTCGCATGCTGACATCGGGCGACGGTAAAACAAGAGTGACGGCAATGCTCCGTTGCACGTCAGATAGGCACAAGCTTCCCCTGTACCTCATATATAAACGGAAGACGCTCCCGAAAGTAGTCGTTTTCCCGAGTAGTGTGATCGTGCGGGCCAATGAGAAAAATGGGTGCGCGTTGCAATCGATGTCTTACTTTTTTTTTTCGTCGTGAATACCGAGTGTGCGTTACAATCGAGGGCGCGGTAGAATCGAGTAAATGCAGTACTCGCGCTTGAACATCACACTGGCTCGTTCAGCCTACAACACAAAGCTGCCACCCTTCATCATTTTCTAAAGAAAAATAATGCCGAAGGAAGCATTCCCACCCAATGTTGTTGCTCCCGTGAACGAAAACGCCGATAGAAGGTTTGCTTAAAAAGAGCAGCCCTGTCATTAAGACAGTGGCAATTAACTGGGGCCTTGCCGACCTTTTCGGCAGCCATGGAGAAGTACTTGAAGGCGGTCTCGTTGTTCTGTGTCACCACCGAGCTTCCCTCGAGGAAACATCTTGCCCAGGAAGGCCATGGCATTGGCGTTGCCCGTGTTGGCCGCCTGGGTGAAGTAGCTCAGGGCGCGCGAATGGTCCTGCTCCACGCCCCGTCCACCCTGGTAGTGGAGCTGGCCTAGCCCCACCTGCACACACATTCAGTGAACACTTAGTGTACACTCGAGTACACCTGTTTAGTGTACACCAGTGTACACCGGGAGCCCAAAGTCCCCACTTCTCTCCCACCTGCACACACATTCAGGGAACACCGAGTGTACACCAGGAGCCCTATGTCGTCGCCACTTCTCTCCAGCAAGACCGGGCGAGTGCAAACACTGCAGAACTCTCGAATTCTGTCAATAAACCTGCCTTACGCAACAACCACAAATGAGGATTTCCTGTTACAGTGAAACTTCACTCATATGTTAGTTAACCAATTTGCCCTACCCTATCATTACGAAATGCCGGTTTCGTTTTTAATTCAGATAGGACACCATGCATGCTAAATTTCCGTTATCTTTCCCAGACTGTTGCTTCTAAAATATATGATAACACCCATGTTCACTTTTACATGTCATGGTTAAATATGGTCGTAACACTTGTCATGTGGCATCATCCCTACGAGGAAGAGCGAAATTTACTACTGTGCGTTAGCATAACTTAGTCAAGCGGCCTAACTTCCAGTTACAAACCCACATGCGTGGGCACATAGCGCTCCTGAAGAAAGCAGAAGCCTGCAGGTCTTTTGACCTTAGCTTTTGCCATATATACTCACATTCCTGCTATCTGAAAAAGAAGAAAGAAAATTTGCACAGTGGGCATTCTGCAATATCCCCCTGTTTTTCTAACAGTGTTGCACACTGAAAAAGCTTCCCCAATGAAAATGGTTTTATCAGACATTACATTCTACCAGGTAATGCATTCCTGTCTTGAACCAACGTAACACTGCAGTTAAACTGCTTATGCTTCGGTTCTGATGCAATCGAATAAGGATAACTTATATGATCAGTCAACCCATCGGGGTGTCACAGTTGCTTTAGCACCTTGAAGAATCATTCAAAGTTATGCGAAGTAACGAACAATGAGAATAGGTCAGCCTAGATTAGACCACATTGCCAGAAGAGTTTGATACTAATGCCTTGAGGTTACAGGTCTTCAGGACATCGACAAGCAAAAGTACCTGGGCCTGCACATCTCCTTTATCGGCGAGGAACTGGTAGTACTGGATGAGGTCATCGTCGATGAGTCCCGTTGATGAGCCCGGGTTTTCAGCCTCATCTAGAAGTCGAATTCGTTGAATCAAGGTGGAGCCGCCCTTGTTGACGTCCTGCTCCACTGTGTAAAAGAGAAAGCACAGGAGAAATAATGGTTGCACTTAAGGGAAGATAAGAGTAAATTTTCATTTAACAATGCATGGTTAAGGCACGCTATAAGATAACACTATTATGTTAGTTTAGACTCATGAGGTATGCAGAGAAGCATGCGTACCTAAATGTGTGCATGCATACCTAAAATATTCGTTAGCACAGGAAAATTTCAACTTCCCTCTGGAAAACCATGCGAATTCATGGTATCGTTCTATGCGCATATAGAAAATAAAGAAGCAACCTCTCCTACCATTCTATCAAGCATATGGACTGAATGCATGACTCACCTACTTTGGCCACCTTCCGATAGTAGGTCAGAGCCGCCTCGCAACTCGTGAGCACGCTGTTGCCGTACCAGTACCGGTAACCCAGGGCCATTTGGGCAAATGGGTTGCCGCCCAGGGCCCCAAAGGTGTAGTACACGAGCGCCTTGGCTTGGCTCGAGTTGACCCCCAAGCCGATGGCGTAGACGAAGCCAAGGTAGGTCTGGCCCGTCGGCGAGCCCTTCGACGCGAGGGCTTCAAAGTATAGCTGGGCTTTGGTGACGTTCTGGGGGACCCCGTCGCCAAACAGGTACGCCTCGCCGATGGATTCCTGCGACGCCGTGTGGCCGAGGTCGGCCGCTTCCTCCAAGAGCTCGTACGCTCTGTAGCAGCAATAGAGCGCGTTTTGCACTTAGTAAGGCAGCCTATAGTGCTTCTACATTGGCAAACCATTGTACATTTACGACTCAAAGGTTAGACGCAGAGGTAAAGACCTGGCGACAACAAGCCAACCAAGGATGGCAATGCACCTCTGCTCGCACTTTTACGACAAATACACCATTTCATAGTACTCTTCAGGAATAAGAGAAATATAAAAAATATAGGGAGAAAGCCAGTACGCGAACAAATTATAAACAAGGACACCATGCACAAACTACAGAGCACAAATGTTGAGAACCACTCTACGCTCTTCAAACATTCTAGTCCAAAATGGTTCTGGCATGCCTTATGCTACAACTTTGAGATTCGCGTTTTCTTCTCACAGTGCTTCTACCTTCAATTTCAAACATAAATGCTGACCTGGTAGTTTCTCGTTTACCAGCTTTGCGACAGGTCATCAGCTCGGCAGGCTCGTCCATTTCAAGACAGCCGACTCATAAACGAAGGAAGTGCAAAACAACATTGAAGCGAATGGCAACTGTGCCCACCAGTGCGTGATAGGACGACCGGGGTATGGGGTGACGACAAGGGGTTATGAGGTAGGCGGTCGTTTCTATGCACAGCACCCTCCTAATTCAATCACACCACTCGCTCACCGAAACAGGTGCAAAAAAAAAGACCCCCTTCCAGAAGAAAAAGCCACCTTCTAGTGGTGTTTTGCGATGCACAATTTGCAAAGTGTTGCGGCTATTTTTATTCAACATATCTGAAGAAGTTTCTGTTGATCGATGCTAAGCATTCTCGTTTTCAAAAGGTAGTCCGATGTAAAGGATGATTGCACTTACCCCGAGATTGATAAGTCAGGTTTGACTGCATCCCTATAGAAGGCATAAACGATAGACTTGCGAGCATACAACTTTCTAGGTTCGAAGCAAACTTTCGCTAAATAGCAAGGAAAAATGGTTAAAGTCAAAAGACGACAGCAATTGCTGCCGCCACTTTTTTTTGCGCTACTACAGCAAAGATCACGCAGCACCGACTAGGTTTAATCATGACCTATTTATGTTCAGAGCTAAGTCAAAGCTTGGTCCCAACAACGTCTTACATGCGCCCACTCTCAAAACAAGAACTCCCCTGCAATGCCCTCTTACTTTTTTCTGTCAGAGTCCGTTGAGTTGAGCAATGCCTTGGCTGCTTCATAGAGGCTGATTGCTGCAACAAAAAAAAAAAAGAGTGACTCGTTAGACAGCACAACTGGCAACGAACAGCACAGTTAATTTCTATCACCACAATTATTTCACCATTAATCCCCACCAAATTATTGTTTCTATCAGTGCTTAAAAGCAGTAAATGCTGCCAATTATTGTTTCAAATTCAACTTGAAGCCAGCACAGTCTTTAAATCAAATGTATGACTTCCTTGTGTGACCTCCAAGATAGGGAAAACTGTTAAACATCTCGAAGGCCATGGACTTGGGCCTAAGTCGCAGAAACAACCACCAGGTGGATGCACCATTCGTATAAATGCTGTTCAAAGTAGGGTTAGGAAGCATCTCGAATTTTGCGAGACCATCCATGTCGACCCGGTCGGGACTGCTACATGTCTCGGATTTGTTTGAACTGTCCAGTAGAAACACATTACGAGATCCGGCGTGCGTCACGCTACGAAACATGAAATTTGCATGAATCGCGCACAGAAAGCAATGTTGCAGTGGCTTGCAAGGGGCTCTAGCTGAACTTGTGCGCAAAGTGCGACGTTTACGAGTACATTCTCCAGCAAAAAGAAGTTCCGGGAATAGTGTGTAGCCAGCGGAACTACTACTTCAAGAAGCCACAACATAAAAGAAACAATAGGTTAGTCTGGAACATAATGCAATAATAAAACAACTGATTTTGCTGGCTCCAAATGTTAGAGCAAACACCCCTCCCGTCCCGATTCGCTTCATTGAAGAGTTGGTAACCCTAGCTTGAAGGCTGCCAACAAGAAAAATTTAACATTATCAGCCCATTGACTTACCAACATGGCTTTCGCGATGTAAGTACACAATCCTCACGCATTCTTGCCTCCATAGAAAATGCTGCCGCCATGGACACGATTCGATACCGTGACCTTTGAGTCTGCAGTCGAGCGCCATAATTGCTAGACCACCGTGGCGAGTACCTCGTACAGGGAAATCTAAATTTCCTCCCCTAGGTTTGGTGACGACCCAAACATTACGATGGATCTGTTTGGTCCCAGCAATGCCACCATAGAAATAATGTATTAAAAACTTCAATAATAAGGGACAATTTCATGACGACCCCCCGTATCACACGATGGCTCTCCGATACCAGCAAAAAAAAAAAAAAATCGCCTTTTATTTTTACGCGAATATACTAGTACCAATCAAACATATTTGCAGGTGTCATTAGATAAATACTTGCATGCCTTTAGTTTGACGACTAGAAAATTATAGAGCGAGACAGGTACAGTGTGCTTTCTTAGAATAAAAAATTGATGCTCCCGGCAGTTACTATGCTTCTATGATGTTCTTTTTCCTGGCTTTAAAATGGCTCCTGAATATGCATTGATCGAGCATGTGTCCAGCATCGTTGCCTAGACAAGCTCTATGCACACAGAGTAGCTTGAGCTAGTCTGCAAGCTTGTCTTTGAAGTTCAGATGTTATCATGTTTGTGACACATGGAAATGTGTGCTAATCGAAACACGGCCGAAAATCTCCTCGCTCTGTTCGCTGTACTCGGTCACATACATGCCATGATCCCGCAAAAGAAATGCGTCGCAGCTATCTTCACCGTGCAAACTTACTTCCCCCAAGGCAAACGCTCGTAACAGGAGTGACATATCCCCAAATGCACTTCACAAGGGAACAAATACGGCGGGCACAGCTCAGTGCCGCATGAACTCTGGACAGAATGAGCTCCACCATTATTACACGATGGTGACACTCCCGCATCTTGCTCTTCTGACAAGAAACTGCTGCCATCGTGGCTTCAGTTTCGTTTTGACGTGCTGACAGTTTTTGGACAAATTTTATTGGAAAGAAAGACGCAAGTCGGACTTGATTTCTTTTTTTAAAACTGGGAATAAAGATTTGCTCACAGCTCCCTCAGTTAATGTTGGGCTGCCGTTTTCCAAAGTAAGTTAATTTACCTTTCGCACACAAGTGTAAGGTCGTGCCGCAGGCTCCTTTTAAGCGGCCTGTACCCGTTTTCTTTTTTGGGCAAGGCTGAGTGTTACTGCCTATATTCTCAAGTAGTATTATTAAACAAAACACATGTTACACTAGAATCTCAGTGATATGAATCTGGGCTAAAATAATCGTATAATCTGAAATTTCGTATCACTAACAAAGTATCAATTTTCGTTTTAGCCACCGTATGCTCACAAAACATATAGTATTGATGTGGCGACGCAAAGCGGTGCTTCTGTGTGCGGTGCAGAGAGCGCATACGCCCGCACGAGAAAGTTATCTTCGAGAGGAAGGGTGATAATAAAAAGTGAGTTGTTGTTTGGGACGCGAGTTGTTCACTTGCGCAGCTCTGCCGAGCGACGCGTCTCAACATTGGTGACCCGGACTCGGAATACAGACACAGCGACCGGAGTGTCGAACCAGCCGCAATATGGATTCAACGTCCACGACCGACGCCCCTCCGACAGTCTCCTCAGTCGACGGTAAGCTGCCCCCTTTTTGGACTGCGGACCCCGCACTTTGGTTCATACAAGTGGAATCTCAGTTCGCAGTCAGACGAATCCCCACAGACCTTACGAAATACCACTACGTAGTCAGCAGTCTGTCGCCCGCCATAGCCAGTGAAATCAGGGATCTGTTGCTCGCACCACCTGTCGAAAACGCATATGCAACGCTAAAAGAAACCCTCATTCGCCGAGTTATGCCCTCCGAACCAGAATGACTGCAGCAATTGCTTCGCGGCACGGAACTCGGCGACCGTACTCCTAGTCAGCTTTTGCGGCACATGCAACAGTTGCTTGGCGGAACATCAAACACGATATATGAAGTATTGCTCCGAGAACTTTTTTTTGCAAAAGTTGCCTTCAGGCGTCCGCATGGTCATCGCGGCCACAGAGCACAAGGATTTAATCGCAGCTGCCGGACTTGCTGACAAACTGCTAGCAATGACACCGCCCACACCCATGGCTGCCGTGCAAGCGCAACAGCCTCTAAACGAACTTCAAGAGATGCGTGAGGAGATTGCTCAACTTGCCGAAACAGTATCAGCTTTGCACGCTAGCAGGAGGGCGCAAACGATAACCGAGCCTAACACGCCGCTATCGCAAGAGCAGCACGAGCATATCTGCTGGTATCATCGGAGGTTCGGAAGTAGTGCGCGTAAATGTGTCCCACCGTGCGCGCACTCGGGAAACAGCCGCGGCAGGCACTGAGGGCGACCAGTGCTACTACGTTGCCTCCAAGTCGTCCCTCAGTATTTTTATTACCGACCGCAACAACGGAGTACGTTTCTTAGTGGACACAGGCGCCGAGGTGAGCGTTATACCGGCGTCACAAGCTGAAAGAAAGAAACCTAGTACATCGCCCTTGCAAGCTGTCAATAACACGGTGATAACAACATATGGCCATCGTTCACTGTCGCTGAACTTCGGTTTCGGCAGAACGTTTAGCTGGGTGTTCATAGCTGCTGATGTCAAATTCGCCATACTAGGTGCAGACTTTCTCCAGTTCTTCGGTCTGTTGGTCGACCTCCGCAACAAACGGCTTCAGGATCCCGTTTCTCGGGGAGCGGTACAAGGCACGCCGTGTTGGCACCCCCCTATCAGCCCGGCCTTGCTTAGTTCGGCTGGAGAAGCGTACTTCACCGCAATACTACAAGAGTTCCCAGAGCTGACACGACAGCCACAGGCATTTCCAGAAGTAAAGCACGGCGTCCTGCATCACATCGAAACCACAGGCCAACCGGTCTATGCGCGACCACGGCGCCTGTCACCCGAGAAGCTGCGGTTGACTCGACAGGCGTTTGCCCACATGATGGAACTCGGGATAGTACGTCCTTCATCCAGCCCATATGCGTCACCTCTCCACATGGTCCCAAAATCAACAGACGTTGATTGGCGCCCTTGCGGGGACTATCGAGCACTGAACCGGATAACCGTGCCAGACCGTTACCCAGTCCCGCACATTCATGACATGACCTCCTTCCTGCAAGGTGCTACCATTTTCTCTAAAATAGATCTAGTGCGAGCATATCATCAGATACCCGTAGCACCGGAGGATATCCCCAAGACCGCAATAACAACGCCGTTCGGAATGTTCGAGTTCCTACGCATGCCTTTCGGCTTACGCAACGCCGGCGAAACTTTTCAACGGTTTATGGATGGCGTTGTCCGTGGCCTCGACTTTTGCAAGGTATACCTCAATGATCTTCTGATTGCTAGCAGCACTCCTGAAGAGCACGAGCGGCATCTGCGCTACGTACTTCAGCGACTGACAGAGAACGGCATCGTTATCAATACGGCAAAGTGCGTGTTTGGGGTACCGACACTATCATTTTTGGGCCACAGCATTTCAAGTGCCGGAGTACAGCCCCAGAAGGACAAGGTGGAAGCAGTACGGCAGTTTCCACAGCCGAAAAACCTCCGCCAGCTTCGAGAGTTTCTGGGACTCATGAATTTCTACCGTAGGTTTATCCCGAAATGCGCCAACATCATTCACCCTCTCCACAGCCTACTTGCGGCAACTGGATCTAAGGCAACTGCCATTCAGTGGAACGACCAATCCACACAAGCATTCCGGATGATAAAGTAAGCTCTCGCAAATGCTACCATGCTCACGTACCCGCAGCTGGGTGTTCCTCAGTGCGTCATGGTGGACGCCTCCGATGCAGCGATTGGAGCCGTGTTGCAGCAGAGGGTGAGCGGAGTGTGGCGACCAATTTCCTTCTTCTCCAGAAAACTGAGCTCGTCCGAACGAAGGTACAGCACCTTCGGTAGGGAACTCCTAGCCATATACGCGGCTATCCGGCATTTCCTACATTATGTGGAAGGACAAGAATTTTTTGTGCTCACGGATCACAAGCCACTCACCCACGCATTGCGCGCGAACTCCGATTCTGGTGCGCACGTGGCACGGGAGCTCCGCCAAATGTCGTACATCGCAGAATTCACGACAGATATACGCCATGTTAGTGGCACGGATAATGCTGCTGCCGACGCTCTTTCGCGCGGTCCAGTGAATGCCATCAGCCTGCCGAGAGGCGTGGACTTCACCACACTTACGACGGCTCAACGCAGTGATGGAGAATTGAAGCGTCTACTGACGTCTTCAACCAGCGCCTTGAAGCTGCAATGGTTGGCAGAACCCACAGGATCCGTATGCTGCGACATGTCTACAGGCAAGGCCCGACCGTTCGTCCCCTCGAACCTCCGTCGCAGCATTTTTGACTTGCTACACAGCCTGGCGCATCCCGGGATTCGAGCCACGCAACGGCTATGCACAGCAAGGTTCGTGTGGCCAGGAATAAACTGGGATGTCCGATACTGGACACGAGAGTGCATCGCATGCCAGCGCTCCAAAGTTCAGCGACATACTGTGACCCCCTTGGGATCCTTCCCTCTGCCGGACTGTCGATTTTCCCATGTGCATGTTGACATTGTGGAACTACTGCCGTTGTGCCAGGGGCAAAGCTACTTCCTAACCTGCATCGATCGCTTCACGCGATGGCCGGAGGCCGTGCCCATTCCAGACATGACTGCTGATACCGTCGCCCGCGCATTTATCTTCCACTGGGTGGCCCACTTCGGAGTGCCGGCAACCGTGACTACGGATCGCGGAACACAGTTTGAGTCCGCCCTGTTCGCAAGCGTCACCCGGCTCTTGGGTACTCACCGCATCAGAACAACTGCTTACCATCCGATAAGCAACGGTATAGCGGAAAGGTTCCATCGGCAGCTGAAGACGAGCCTGACGGCTACTGCGAGTCACAGTTGGGTAGAGGCACTGCCGTTTGTTCTGTTGGGCGTTAGGACGGCTCTGAAAGCAGATATTGGATGCTGCTCCGCTGAACTGGTGTACGGAACAACGCTTCGCCTCCCAGGGGAGTTTTTCACTACCAGTAAGGACGAAAACGTGTACGCGAACGCGGACTACGCCGTGCGACTGCGAGACATCATGAGCAAGCTACGCGCTGTCCCTCCGCGGCCGCCCGCAGCCCGGCCAGTCTACGTGGACCGGGAACTCTCCTCCTGCTCTCACGTGTTTGTGAGGCACGACGCCGTACAGCCTCCACTCCGGCCCCCGTACGACGGGCCTTTCAAGGTGCTGCGACGGGCAGACAAGCACATTACAATCGACAGAGGTGGTCGTCACGACGTGGTTTTTCTAGACCACGTAAAACCAGCTCACGTGGACTCCGACAGCGAAGCACCTGCACCACCTCGAGCTCCATCTTCGCAGGCACCCCCGGCAGACCACGTAGCCCAGCCCCAACAAGTCCTCAAACGGTTTACGCGGAGTGGACGGTGTACGAGACCCCCGGTGCGCATGAACTTATGAACTGCAGTGGGTCGTCCCAGTGCGGCCGTTGTGCGCGCACTCACTAGGGGGGGAGTACCGTGGCGACAGAAAGCGGTGCTTCTGTGTGCGGTGCAGAGAGCGCATGCGCCCGCACAAGAAAGTTATCTTCGAGAGGAAGGGCGATAATAAAAAGTGAGTTGTTGTTTGGGACGCGAGTTGTTCACTTGCGCAGCTCTGCCGAGCGACGCGTCTCAACATTGGCTTCAAAACAACTTGAGTATGTCTTTCGGGCACACTCATGGCGGAAACAAGAGATGAATAGCGCAGCTGGCTGCCGCAAATGCAGGTGTCAAAGCTTTGCTTGAGGCCAATTCTAAACTGTGTTCCGAAGTTCACTCCACCCATAAGCAAACAACAAAAACACTAAAATTCTCCGAGCCTTTTTTACGGCATTATTTCCTCTAAACTGCTGCTGCATAGTCACTATTGATGATCAACAGCATACGGTTTTGCATGCAGCAGTCGCGGCTGACCGTGCAGTCCTTGTTTCAGTCAGTGTGCTCACAACATGCATGTCTTGAAAACTATGTTGTTGTTATCTAAGATTGTGTGCAGTGCAGTTTTGCCCACAGTGGTAACAGCAGGCAGCTTAAGCCTGACTTGGTGGACATTGTATGCACATGCACTTTCCAAATTTGGTTGTTACCCTGCGTGATCGCGTAGGTGGCGACTGTGGCTTCGTCCGCAGCGGTTGTAAAAAACGATAGCCACAGTTCTGACTGTGCGTGTGCTGGCCACACAATGCTTTCGTCGACTTGCGGGATGGTCTCAGTACCCAAGTTTGTATCACACATAGTGATGCTGAAAAGTGCTTGGAACATTTGAAGTTTAGCCCAGTGAAATTTGGCCGAGGAATTTTATGAATTTGGCAGCAATATGTATCAGCCGAGTTTACAAACCAAGGTTCTACTTTTTATGATGGTTTCGCGTGATCACATCAATGCTGCATAATTGTGGTTCCACTGTATCTTTTTAGGTTGCATAAGGACTCTTCAAACATAACAAACGAGAAATCAAGCACACCTCTTTTTTCCTCCTCAGAGAGTTCTTTAGGCACTGGTTCAGGCAGCGTTTTTGAAGCACCGGCAGTTTTCCCAGAGGGTGCCTCAGCAGCAGCAGCGTCTGGTTCCGCGTCCCCTTTCGCCGGAGGAACAGTGTGGCCATCCTCCAGCCCTTCCACTGCCTTCTGCTTTGCAGCAACGTCTTCTGCTGTGGGCGTCATCTCTCCATCTTTCCTCTGCGAAATAATGTGAGACTTGCAACAAAAGCTGTACAGAGGTACGTGCCAAACTCCTGACACTTTTTCAAGGTGTATCAGTGCTACGACCATGTCGAATCGCCTCAACACCTGTGCGCACACCTTGCTGTGCCAAGCCTACGAGCACCAAAAAATTTTGTGCAATGTTTCCCTGTTCCAATATGATTCACAAGTATGAAACAACAGGCGTAAAAATTTTACACCCAAGATTAGATCTAGTGTGCATTAGTAAATACACTCAAACCTCATTATAACAAACTTGGATCTTACATGAAAGTAAGTTTGTTATATCCTAAAATTCGGTATAAAAATTTATTTTTAACACTATTTATTGCAACACTATTTTTCATTTATTTCGTTATAAGCGATATTTTGTTATAACGAGGTTCGAGCATAATTACGAGTTTTAACAAGGGAACCACTGTAACCACCTCAGGTCAATTGACACAGCAATGTATGTGCAACAGGATACAGATTTGCAGCTTTGGCCAGCAATTGCTCTGGAAGGCACAAGTTCACACAGCAAAGGGTTGCCATTCGTGATTCCCAGTTTGCATACTGGGCAATTCTTCACCATCACAACCACATGACAGTAAGGTCGTGACTAACCAAGACCCCGCCTCACAACTGCACGTCTCCTGATTCGAGACACAGGCACATACCTCCGACTTTCGAATCTGTTCTTCGGACGTCTCCTTGCTGAGTGACTGCACAGTCTCCCCGACAAGCTTCGGCTCGAATCGCTTCCTAGCACTTCCCGGTTCGGGCATTTCAGCGGATTGTCGGCTCGGCGGTCGTTCCTTGACCTCGTCATCGTCGGTGCTCGTACTCGGTAGTGCTGGAAGGTGGACTTCAGTAACGGGTGCCTAGAGAAGTGTAACAAAATGAAGCCATTTAAGGTTAATCTTGTGTTGAACTAGAGGTAGAGTAGTACTGAAAGTTTATGCAAAAAAAAATTGCTGAAACACTTTTTGCAGTGCTATTCAAGCACCATTAGAGTGGTACTGACACTTATTGGGTACTACCAGCATTACCTTTGAAAGTTTGAAAGTGCCTCCTAAACAACAGAAAAACTGCCCTACACTGATGAAATTATGCTTTCCGAGGAATTTTGTGAAGAAGAGATCTGGTAAAGCGACCCTGAAACGGTTTCTTGAAATTTTGTCTATTTTTAGACTGTATCATTGTCAAATCACATGCAACGAAAATTAACTTAAGTGCTGCATCGCGCATCAAAGTGGCTACAGGCATCTATAATTATATGCTCCTTCTGGCCACTCGTTCCTACAATGCTCCTCAATTTCTACAACTACAAAGCCTCGCTGGTGACCACAAACCCGCTCAAGTTGAGCAAGAATCGAAAACAGAGCCAGTTCGAGACGGTTTTCGAACGTAATGAAGCACAGCGCGACGAGGACACTTACTGAGAAAAATGGTACTGTGGTTTGCAGTAGAACTGACAGCTGGGCGACTTGGCATGTATCCATGTTATAACTTTGTTTAGCGAGCACAAAACAGGGAACGAGAAAGAGACAGACGAGCGGTACGAGCGGTTTGTCCTCTTTTTCTCCCGTTTCTCGCCGTGATTGCAACGAGTTTCACTCGGTCCAACAGCTCCACTAAGCATGCTTCGCAGCGCGTGCCCTCGGGCAACAGAGATGAGGCACGTGGAACCGTCGAGATCTGCTCCAGAGGGTGCTGCTGAACTACCAGTCACTCTTTTTTAAAAGACAGTAGTCTTTCTTGAGGACCTTCGACAGTAAAATTTCGAGTATGTCTGTACATTTGTCTGTTTGTCCACGCCTAACGATACCCTTAAGTCTAAACGGCACCTAACGATAACCCAAACTGCCAACCCCGTCAGCAGCGCCCACCAATATTGCTCAAGGTTTAGCGCTCATACTTGTGCGATTGTCAATTTAAAGGCAATTATTGTGCATACCTGAGGCGCTATAACAACACGTGAATAGTCTGTATGCATGCCTTTTTTCTAGAAACGGGATACATAAGTAATTCAAAGGACCGTAGCGCTTATCACGTTGCGCTGACGATGTAACACTTGCATGAAAAGGCGAGTGTTTCCAACGCTTTGCTAAGACGGCACAGTGGTGGCACCTACCCGTCGCCTTGCGTTCTATACCTTATCAACACGCCGCGCACTTCGTTTTCCAAGACAACTTCCAGATACCACTCATGTCTCACGTGTGACGTGACTTGGTGCGCTCGTTCGCCTCCGCTGCACGCTCGAGGCACCCCGACGCAGCGCCTCCAGAATACCATTCACCAATTTTCTTGCGCAGAACCATCAAATAAACGTTTTGTTCACTCTCTCCAGACGCAAGACTATCGTCTTTCGACCACATTTGCAGTATAACATGCAGATACGGGGCCAATGTTTCTCATTTATAATGCCAATCTCCGAAGGAATGCGGACAAACAAAAATCATTTGAGAATGATCACCGATTAGCGCAAGATCAGGCAGTGTGCTGGCGTCTTCAGGGGTGGAGTTACAGCTGCAGACATATGGACCCTGGTTTTGATTAGATAGCGAGAGCTCAATTCAGCGATGGACTTGCACGACTACATAATGCTGCCGCTTTATGAGTCACCAATGGCCAGATTGCCGCACATACTTAACTCGGCGAGGGCCATTCATGGTGTAGAGTTCATTGGCCCAGCTCACGTCAACGTGCAGCACATTGTAACACAGGCCGGTGACCCGCGCTGCCCATGGGAGACTTCGTGACGTGCACTGAACGTGCCCAATCAGATCGGTCGCCGGTGCAAGTCAGAACTAACAGACCTGTCTATTAATTCACACTAATGCAGAATATAACAAAGAAAAAGAGATTTTAAATTTATACTATCCTTCAACAGTGCTAGGTAACATGGAACTATGCAAATTAAAAAAGGGCACGAGAAATTAAATACTCAATCAGCTGGGCCACTGCGCTCTGCAAGCGAGTCGTATGTTCCAAGTCCTGTAATAAATTACACCGTTCGTACAGAGAGCTGAAATCAGTCAGCAAATGATCCCTAGGACTCGCCTTACTGGTCCAATGCGTTTATGTGAAATTGACAAAACAGTTTCAGTATCTCATCAATGAAAGAGAACTGTCATTCACTCATTTGCAACACACTCATACAGAAAATTCCATTGGCCTTTCTTAATGGAAATAAACAGCTAATGATAGTAAGACGAATATAGGAGATTCTAACTGCACTGTTATGAATGTATTAAAGTGCTCCCAATAAAAATGTAAAGAAAGCAAAGTGGACGAAAAGACGGCTTGCCACTGGCAGGAACTGAACCTGCGACCTTCGAATGATGCGCCCGATGCTTTACCAATAGACCTATGGTGGTGGCCATCCTCTTTCCTCTTTAGCGGGCATTCATGCACACTTAGACCTCATTATAGCAGTGTTGCACCTTACTAGAAATAACTTCGTTATATAAAAATTCATTATACAGGTATATTCCTTAACAGAACAGCTATTTCAAGACTACTCTTCATTTACTTCGTTATAACCAATACTTCATATCTGGCTTCGTTATATGGAGGTTTGAGTGCACATGGAAATAAAAGTGCCAGGTCAGCAGTGCCTATAGCCACAATGGCCAGTGTGGATCACCAGAGAACACACGTGAAATACGTCAAAAGCAACTTTAAGCAGCGTTCGGTATGCAGAAGATCAAGGACACACACGGTTTCTTCATCTTTATTTATTTATGATTTTTTGCTTCATCAGTCAGCACGCAAATGCTGGTGCATGTGGCTTGGATAGGTTGATCACGCGCGCAACCCGCTTTGTTTGCAGCTCCTGGCAACATAAAACCGCAAATGTTCAGCTAGAAGCGAGAAAGGCAGCCGATATATTTAGGCTGGTCCAGCAGAAAGCTTAACGAAAGGAATGTCTTTAGTGAGTCAGCTTTAATTAAGTGGCATTAAAATATATTGAAAACATACCCCGACTAATGGTGGCTAGTCACTTCTGCAAACAGCTTGTTCAAGCATAGTTTGCTAGCGCTATGACCTAGCAAAGTGTTGACTCAGCCCTTCCAATAAAAACAAGCATAACAGACAAGCCCCAGCACGTGTCGCTAGCATTTTATTCCCACTTAAACCACACTTGGTACAACTGAGCGAGAAACAGCGCGCCTAGATGGCACAAAAAGTTAAAAAGAAGCGCGCGCGCGCGCACACACGCATGCACATGTATACGCACGCATGCACATACACACACACCGCTGTTAACTTCTTGTTTAACTTTCTGTCTCGTCGAGGCGTGCTGTTTCTCGCTCAGTATGCACCTACTGGCCTGCCAACAATTTGTTACCACCACTGGTTAAGCAAATGTGCAGTGCAGAGAAGTGCACTCGCGAATTGTGGAAAGGGTCTGTCATCGTGGTCCACTGTAGTACCGATGCCGAAAGGCCAGAAACGCACCTGCAGCTTGCTCTTTTCGTCGTCGACGCCTTCCCCGGAGTCATCCGAGCGATGCTTTGCGGGAGCAGGGCCGTCTCCGCCAACGGCTTCACCCCAGACGAGACTGGCAAAGGCCACGAGTGCCAACAGGCACCACGTGAGCCACCACGCCCGGTACCACATCCGTCTTTCGAGCCAAGCTGCATTTTGCCTGGCTTGCAAGGCTAGTAGTACATCTGCCAAAAGACAAGGAGCAAGAATCCAATTAGCACTTTAGATGAGCTCAAACATTTACCTTTTCCTGCAACATAAATTTTTATTTGCCTTTGCTGTGATTCAAATGATTTATAAGCAATCAAACTTCACTAATTAATAGATAAGTTGAACACATCTTGTGGCAGCATTAGCAATGCTCACTTCAGAGGAGCTTTACTAGAAACTAGAAACTAGAAATTTGAAGTCATGTACATGTTACATGGTTAGCCTAGAGTAGCTGTTGCAATCCGGCCAATCAACTTCCCCTTAGATGTTTATTCTCTTAGCATGTAATCAAAACATCTCTTAAGTTTAAAATCTGCTGCTAGCAGCTTGAGTGACGCCAGGAAGCGGTGTCCAGTGAAACAAATTGAAATTCAGCTCGCCCATAGTTGGCATTACCAACACCAAACTAGAATTTTATTATTTATGTGCATTTTAGTGAGACATGCACGATAAAAATGTATTCACATTCAAAGGCTATGTGAAATACCATTGGTATGAAAAAAAAAAAAGAACAACACAGGTGTCAGCATTTAACCACTTCTGTATTTATGCATTTTATGTGTATTTATGTATTTTATCTGTTTAGCCAATTAAGAAGCCTTAAGCAGGAATGGGAGCAAGAACACAGTACATGCAGGCTTAATAAAGTAAGGCAAAACATGTCAGAAGTCACACACATCATTGTGCCGATGCATAGCACAAAGGAAGAACAACAGAGAAAAGATATAGGTGAATTAGCGAAGTAATGAACAGTGTTGCACGCAGCAAAACAAAAAAAGGAACAGAACAATCTCACAGGAAGTACACTCACAATGCGTGTAAACAAAAGAACTAACTCAATTCATTTCCGGTCATAAATTACATGGCCGTGCGAGTCGGCCCATTCTGGGCGACTTGCCTTCACATTTTGACATACCATTAACAAGTTTCTTTGAGAGAAATGCAAGCATCAGTATCAGTGACATTGATCGCGGGCGGAAATTATGTTATTTGCAAGCTAAAAATCACAAGTGATGCAAAAAAAAAATTAGGGGTTTGAGCTGAAACTAAGCCCCAGCGTTCAGCGTGACAGCCGGGTACTTTACCTCTGTGGCATGCCAAGTGCTTGAAAGTATTGAGAAAAGAACCCTATAGAGGCCTTATGCATTGTGAGTAGTCACGTTAACAGGCATATTCATCTTCATCATCATCGTCAGCCTGACTATGCCCACTGTAGGGCAAACACCTCTCCCATGATCCGCCAATCAAGCTGGTCTTGTGCCTTCAGGTGCACATTACACCTGCAAACTTTTTAATCTCATCGGCCCGCCTAACTTTCCGTTTTCCCTTCGTGCGTTTCCCTTTTCTGGGAATCCAATCGGTTACCCTTAATAACCAGCCGTTATTCTACCCATGTGCTCACACACTTATTGTGTGAGCATGTAGGCAGTATAAGCGCTGGTCATCGCACCAGGCCTTATACCATGTTGACTGTACAATGAGTGGGTGGTTTAAGGAACCGACAACTGACCACTGACCAAAATGTGGGATGACATTCCAATGGAAGTGAAAAGACAGTGAACTATAGTAACGCATTTCACACATCATTCCTGCTATGTTAATACAAGCAATATCCTTATATATATCCAGTTTAGCAGTTACAAACAAAAAATTTAAGTACAACTGTTGAGTGAAGCTCCATAGAAACGGGACACAAACGACTGTGTGCCCGGTTTCGCTGCTGGCTTTCACAAAAGCGGTCGAGTGGGGGCAACGTTTTTAGAACCAGTACAGTTTCCACAGCTCTGCTCTCCAGCTGGCACGCACACGGCGGATGTGTGAATGCACAGGCGACACACATGCCACCGCGAGCAGGGACGCAGAAAAGAGTAGCTGCTTGCAATGCGTTGCGTGTTTCTCTGGGCTCGCTCTTTCTGCATGATTTTCAAATGCACGATACAAGATGCAACTGCAGCGTTGCTAGTACTTTTGTCACTCATCGCATCCACTACGGGAGAAAGTGTCTATTGGGAGCCGCGAAAGTGACCTGGTTCTAGAAACATCGAAAGGGGGAGCGGTGATGCAGCGGGAGGCGACGGCAGTGACGGCAAGAAGCAGGCCTACGAACCTTTACTCTTAAAGGGCCACTCACCAGGTTTGATCATTTTGAGCTGACAAGCGCAATGCGTAGATCAGGCGTTTATGATCACGTCTGCCAAAATTTGCAACGCTACGCACCGCGGAAATGGGTCAAATTTCAAGATGAAGGCTGCTCCCCCTCCCCTCTGCCGGCGCATGCCTAGAGAATGAGGGCATGACGTGGGCGTATGAATGGCCTTACATACACGGCAACGCAGTGACGTTGGTCCTCTACGCAGACGAGTCTGCTCTGACATTGTCAACAGTCTACCACGTGGCATGGCAAAAATTATTTAAGACAACATGCGTGGCTTATGTATTTGTTGCTTTAAGAAATTAATAAAACTTGAAATAAATAATGAGATGCAATAAAAAATTGTCCGCGTTTTTCTTTCATTTTTTCCCGCGAAATGCTACAAGATGCGGGGCTAATGTGCCAGCGTTTCGCATGCGTTCGTGTCCCCGCGGCCAGCGCATTGAGCAGACGACCGCCGTGGAATGCTCCTACGCGTTCGCGCACTCATTGTGCTCATCTACTCTACCGCGTCTAAGCCAGCGTTTCCAAACCATCTGGCAGAAACAGGCAGAAGACTACAAAATAATGCTGGTAAACAAAGTAACGCTGCTCGCGTGCTCGGAGGTTGAAATTGTTTGGGCACGTCATGCGCACGTCACCCCTTGGTCGGATGCCAGAGAGGGTGGGGAAAAGATCTGGCTTGCGAAGGCTATGCGGAGGAGCGGCAAGGGTTTCGAGCTCGCCTCCTCTCATCCTCGCTTCGCGCTGCTTTAAAAAACCTGTTTGCTCCACTCGTGATGAACCGATTCAAAAACTTTTTGTAGCAAAATGTTCCTCATCGGACACCTAGCAGCTTCCACTGTCAAACTAAAATTCGGTTTGGGGCCTGGTGAGTGGCCTTTTATAGATAACGGCATACTGCGCAGCCTAACGGAGGAGCCTTCAAGCTGGATTATGAAGTTGTTCACTTTGCTGAACATAGTCCGATGATCACAGGCACAACATAACTAGGTGTTATAATTACATTTGATCCAATGTTCATAGTTACTGTATGCATGTTATTGTCTATCTCAGCTCTATTCTGTGATGCTTATGAGGTACGTGAGTTACGAGCGGCCAAGCTTTCGCGACAACTGGTGGAAGATGCAGAGTCGCGGTGAATGCGTCCAGAATGCACACATACACAGAAAACTGTTGCACAAAAACAGAACGCACACACACGCTTACCTTAAACTGTTTACAGTGCTATCTGTTACTATATGGCATCAAGTTGCTGCACATCGAACCGTATGGAATATAAATGTTACACAGCACTTTCTGTGTTACCATTCTGTGATTAGACTCTCTGAATGTAGCGCTGAATAAAACAGGTACCACAAAAATTGGTTGTCAGTCCCTTTAAAGGCTCACCCATTAAAATGTGCACCAAGGGCAGCACCTGAATTTTTTTTCACAGCGGGGGCACCCCTGACAAGCAATTTTGTCCAGTGGGGCTAGAAGGTGGGTTTCTCATGCATTTTTTTTTTACTATGCTTGATCTTTAGTGGTTGGGGGAGGCCTAGGGGTAGCAGGCGAAAATTCTGGGGATTCTCAAGCCCCCCTCCCAATACTCCTCCCCCCTTTCGCTAGCACAGCCTCTGAAGTGCAGAGGCATGATTCATTACCATAGTCAGCAACAGCATCAACAAAGCATGCAGCTGTGCACGTTGCCTTAGAGACTCGGTGGGTGCTTTACAACTGTACCTACAGTCGGTGTTATAGGACCATTTGAGATGCCCAATGTAACAGGCACAGATGTTCGTTCAACAATTGAGGTCTCCAGTGAAAAGTGAAGTGAGGTGTGTGAATATAATAGGTGACGTAAACGGGGCCTAACATTTCTATAACGTTCGAATGGCATGCCACTCTTGAAGGGCGAGCTCAAGCGCTCTTTTAAGCTTTTAATGAAATTGTCTTTTCGACAGTGAGCAATTTCGAGCTTAAACGTCAAAGGTATGCAATGTAAGACATTTCAAGTCAATAACATTACAGCACCCAGCAAAAGGATTTGGCAGCTACGGCCATGAACTTTTAATAAGGTACAGGTTCGATTCCTGGCAACGTTTTGAAGCAAGGAGAATGCAAGAGCACCTGGGTACTTGGATGTAGGTGCTAACTTAAGAACCTCGAATGGTCAACACTAACATAAAGTCCTCACCATGCAATGACATTGTGGTTTTTGCTCATACATCCTCCCGTATTCAAGTTTCTAGTTTAAAGCTTGCCACTAGAAGACAGCAAGCCTATCAATTGGCGCCAAAATATGGCACGTCTCCAATCTTCAAGTTTGTCTAACAAAATGAAATAGATCCTTGGGCAAGCATTCTGGACATCTGGCCATCACGGAGCGACATGCCATTCCTTTTAAAGGGACACTAATGTCGACGTAGGATTCCTTAAATAGCTTTCCAGAAACCTTGTGGTGCTTGTCTCATGCCAAGGAAATGCTTGGTTTTAAGAAACATTTTGTCATAGTGCTCTGCATACCGTTAGCCCAATCCAAACCACCCACCTATGAGAATGGCCTTCTGACGTAGCGCTCGCCATACCTGCAATTCTCGACGTCTGGCAGTGCAGATTGAGGTACATTAGTTGGGCACGGCTCAGCAAAAACTGAACTTATGCATGCGTCCCTTGCAGGAGCTCGTTTTCGCATGAGTCGGGCTAAAATGAATAAAGGTCTACTTTATTCTGTCTTGCAATGCAACAAAGCGCTGTTCTTTTGTAATGGATAATTTGAACACTCATGAGCAATCTACTGAGGCCCTACTATGCCACCGGGCTTGTTTTGCCGAATTTCCTTCGCCCCCACTCCCGGCGACACAAATCGTGTCCTGGATTTTCTTTAATTCCTCGATCGCTAAAGTGATGTCGCATAAAATATTTCGATTTTAGACATGTACAGATTTTTCACTCGTACGCCAAATTGTATAGACATTTAGTGTCCGTTGAATATTGAAAACAAATATCCAAGGCGACAAAAATGAAACAAGTTTGGCGCAGGCGCTAAAACGCGCAATCACCCTCGCAATCCGGACGATCCGACATGCAAGTTTCGGTACACGTAATCCGCCTTTAAAACGATGCAGTGGTAAATTGGACGGGCCTCACACAAAGTCGCAGTATCCGTGCCCCATATCCAATCGCATCTCCGCAAATAGCGGAAACAACACAGGAAACATTCGGAGCTTCTCAACTTAATCTGCCACGTCCTATCTGGCTGTCACGGAGAACCGCCCTTTCGATTACGGGCAAGCCGGAGCCATCATCCTGACCACTTTTCAAAGGCAAGCTACGTCGAGTCAAACGCAATGTAGTGACCAGTTCGATAATAAAACAAAAAGTGCGACAACTGGCTAAATGCTGCCAAACACACGGACGGCTGATGCAAGTGATCGGACGCAGGACAAGCCGAAGGTTTTGTCGCATGCATGCCAAAGCTGCAAACGACAAAAAGCTTTTGCAAACTCGAGGGAGACTACACACTGGGCCGACCGAAGGTCTCTTCTAACAACACGTCACTCAAGAACGACGTGTCCTAATGTCTGCGGGCGCTTTGCCCGTCACGTAAACAAAACTGTCCGGCCCGTGTCTCTGAAACAACGCGTTTCGATTATTGGTCGATCGGAGCATCCACCAAAACACCGACGACGCTAAGACAATGTAAACAGGCCGCTCTGACCTCGAAGTGACGCAGGGACGCCAAAACCTAGAACGTCGCTGCGACACACGAAACGTCGCCTGTCTAAGCGAAACGGTGCGTAAAACGAGATACGAGAGAATGCAGAAGCGGCGGTTCGACTGACTGTCCTGGGAGCCGACGACGCAGAAAGGCGTTGAAATTACTGGCCAAACCGAAAACGATTGTCGCTAGCATCCTCACCTGATCGATTCCTCTCTCTTTGGCTCGCCGTGTGATGTGCTCACAAGGTAAGGAGGGACGGGGCTCGGTCAGATGTCCGCTGATGCCAGCTGCCCGTAGGCGAACGTGTCATACCGGACCTTCGCGCCGCGCCATTTCGGGCGCGATCCGATTTTTCTGTGGGACGTACAACGCTGGAGACCGGCGCTCAAACTTGCGGGCCACGGGTAACGCGACGATTCGTGTGTTGCCACGTAAAGTAAGAGCACATTGCAGTCCCCTACGAGTCGATGTCTATTGGGTCTTTTCGCTGAGGCCTGTTTGATAGCGACTTGACTTATACTGTAGTCGAGACGCTTGGTGGCGCTAGCAGGCAGTCTTATAATATTAGTACAGGGCCTAGTAATATTAGTGTCATTGGGTGTGTCGATCGCGATCCAACCTCCCTACGGGCATCGACTTTTATCGGCCGCAAATAATTACCTCCCACGTCGTAGCAATTAAGCCGATCGCAGCAGAGATTGGCTTACAGATGGTGCATCGCGTTCGAAAGCCCCCAGTTCAACCTGACGTATCTGCATAAAGGACGGGACGGAGAAGAGACATGATACATACACAGCGCTTACTTACAACAATGCAGTTTATTCTGAGAGTTAACAATGCATATACTCTAACACAAAAGATGTGCTCAACTTAGAAATCGTGTATCTAAAACAAATCATGCGACACTCAAATATTACATTTATTTCACTGATAATGACACAGATGGCTTGCTGATACACGTGTCACAAAACTTGGCGATGAATCGCGCTTCTATAATGATCCTTGTCATTTCGTTAGTCTTGCTTCAAATTATGCTAGCGCCTCCTGTCAAAGTAGAGGGGGCTTTGGATGAGCATATGATTAATGCATCTACCAGTTTGCCCTACATAGCATGCATCACACGTCAAAGGGATCTGGTAGATGACTCCTGTGATGGACGCAACAAACTTAGCTATTACGGTGAACACAATAATAAAGTTGCCAAGGCGCAGCCTGAGAGTTTCCTCACAATTCGCTGCAAGGAGCGCTTGCCAACGCCTATTTAATCACACAAGCCTAATTGGAGGGAACACTAACGAAATGACAAGGCTCGTTATATGTGGTATTCACCTCCGAGCAACCCTGTGCTCTCGCAGCCTACGCTTCGGCTATCCGCACAGCATGTGAGAAATGCGGAGAAGCACAGAGGAAGGCCCTCCTCCGTGCGGAGAAGGCACTACTTGCGGCCGCCATGGCTAGGGCCATGCACACACGTGAGCACATGCTGGTTGCGTCACACTAAAACTGAGCCGTTTTTTGCATCCAACATCCGTTATTACGTTTGATTGTGCCATATTTGTGTGCAGTCATCACATACAATGAAAGATTGACAATTAAGCCCGAAAACTCAAAACCAGTTAACTTTTATTCCTTAATTGCCGAACGTTATTCGCGATCATGTTGCGGCGAAGCGTCGTGGCGAGTGATTCAGCCGTGTTCGGCAGGCTGATTTTTTAACAAGGCTTTGGGATGAGTGCTTGAGAGTGGTTAACCTGCAAATGGAAACTCAGTTGAGTTCGGATTCTGACAGTTTTGAGTAATTCATATGTGAAAAAAACACGAAAATAAAGAAATTACAATAACACGGTAAATGCAGACAGTTTCAATGCTCTGGCAGAGACGTCTGCGAAAAGCACAACACAGCGGAGCACTCAACGCTGGGTTATTCATATTAATACATGCGCGGTACTCAGCGAGCTTAAAGTGAGAGGCGCACGCTTTTGCTGTTCTCGCTAAAGTGGCCTCAGCTACACTTGAGTGTCAAAGCGCAGGTGGCTTGTAACCTTGGTCTGGTGAATAATTTAATGCTCCTGATACTTTTCATTCCATTGATCGAAGCTGTGGGTGAGCGAACCACGTCGAAATTTCAGTCTCGTGCGCGCTTTGCCACAATCTAATCTGCACCATGCAATGGTGTTGTCAGACGTACATGTTCCTAAGCCCTGTTAAGCCCACTGCGTCAACTAGATTCTAAAACATCGCACTATCATCAAATTCATGGGGAAACTCGACTTTAGCGCTCACAGATTGCCACTTTGTCCGTGCATCGCTGTTTAGCATCGGCGTCCAATTTCTCGGCAAACACGCTAGCCTATAGCACGCATCGCCCATTGCTGCAGCAGCTTCACAAACGGTAAATCTCGTATACCTTCTAAATCCAAATAAAATAAAACAAGACCAACGTGCCCGCAGTAACTTGTGTGCACCTGTTGGAACCACCGGACTCAATTATCGGCATGCCGCCGACCGCTGTTATGGTGGCCTTCAAAATGGCCAGTACCAACGTTTCTAGAACTAGTTCTAGAAACGTTGGCCAGTACAGCTGGCGCACTTTTCGCTGCCGCGCCCGCCAAGCTGACATCACGTGAATACAACCCATAGAAGCGCGATATTTTCATCGCCAAGTTTGGTGACACCTGTATACCAGCAAGTCATCTGTATCATTATCAGTGAAAGAAATTGAATATCTGAATGTCGCATCGTTTGCTTTAGATACACGATTTCCGGTTTGATCACGTGGTTTGTTACTTTACAGGCAAAGATTAATCGTAAGGCTAAGTTAAGCCGTTTTGTCCTGGAGAACTAACGGATCAGTGGTAAACATACTGTTCTACTTTACAGCGATGGCTTCACTTATCCAGCTGCTAACTAAGAAAATGCCTGTGATTGTTCAGCGAACTGGGAGCGCGGGGGTAAACACAGACACAAAGCAAAGGGGAGGCACACAGTGCTCATGCTGTGTGCCTCCTCTTTGCTTTGTGTCTGTGTTTACCCCCGCGCTCCCAGTTCGCTGAACAATCATGAATTACCAACTAGCCCACCTTCCCATCCTATTGAACGCACCTGTGTGCATGCGTTTGACTTTCAAGCTTAGCGAAGGTCTATGTTGGCGAAAGACCTTCCGTAGGCATTCAGGAGCGGCGTGTTCGAAAAAAAAAAAAAACAGTGACACAAGGTTACCATCGCCTGAAGTGCTGGTTGCGTTCATTTTCATCGCACGTTTCGGCCGAGAATCTTGTGTCTTGAAGTGCAGTCTGCGGGCTGCCTTGCCGCTACGAGTGTAAGTGTAATCGAAACGCGTGGACTTGTCGTCCTTGTCAATCAAGGCATGCAACGAAGTCATATCTCCACGAACTAACGGTGTCTTCCTTGACCAATGCATGAAAAACCAAGCTGTCGTCTAAGGGATCTGGTTCAACCACCTTCAACCACGGCAATTTAGTTTTTTTTTTTTTTTCTGTGCTAGGACTTACGCGCTGCGTTTGCTCGTCAGTGCAGGAAAAAGTGCGTATCGAGCAAGAGGATGCACACGTCGGAAATTCAATTCAAATCGAACTACACTGATGAATCAAATTAGATAAACAATAATTGTAGAGGCTTGACGTCCCAAAAGCATGCAGCGTATTTGAGTGAAAGAAAAAAAAAAAATAAGTCATAGCAGCGTTTATTGGTCATTTCACAAAGAGCTCATTTCAAACGCAAACACGTATTAAGCATATCTCCCGTCCAAGTTGTTCTGAAATGACATTAAACGAAACTAATCATCACCAAGCCAAGAAATAGACTTGCGAAACGACGGTCAACGAAACTTTAAGACCAAGAAACCAAACACCTCTGCGTGGATAGGAAACGTCCCGTGACAAAGCCTTGCAGAATTAATTCCTTGATGTACAAGCTTTTCTTGAGCACCGAGCACCTCACTTCGTGATGGTATGCGTCCGGCAGCAGCGTTTTGAGGAAAGCGTTCAGCACCATCGCTGTAAGGCCCCAAACCTTGAATTGACCCGCCAGAAAGACGGGCATCGCATAATCTCCGCCATTCAGGGTTCCGCGGCGACCCCTGAACTGCGTGTAGCGCAAGTTCGACTTCTCGCACAGCTCTTCAAGCGTCCGCACAAACGCTAACTGAACCTCGGCGTCGTTGACGTTCAGGTCGACATCGAGGTCGATGTCCCGACCGCTCTCGCCCAGCATTGCCAAGACGACGGTCATGGAGAGTTTGTCGCGCGGGTTGTAGAACGTCGGGAAGGTGCCGAGGACCTCCACCTTGCTTCTGCTGACGCCTAGCTCTTCTTCCGTCTCCCTCAAGGCCGTGTCCACGGGATCAATGTCTTCGGCGTGCTCCATGCCACCCGGAAAGCAAACGTAACCCTTGTGGCGGAGCAGTCGACTCGAGCGCAGCGTGAACAGTACGGACGGCTTGCCTCCTCCGCTGGTGCACAGCGGAATGAGAATGGAGGAGCGAGGAATTTCGGTGTCGGGCCGCGCCGGTTGCGCGGTGCCAAGTTTGAGCTTCTTGATGTTTTCGAGGCACGACTGAAGCTTGGGACGCGCGAAAGCATCGCCCAGGGCTGGCTGCGATATCGCGGAACTGCTCGAAGACGTCGACAAGCGAAGCGCGCTGCGATGTGACAGCGTAGCGGCGCCGAGCATGCGGCGAATTCTCACGCAGTCGCGAATTGCCATCTTACGTTTGGCGCTCGAGCTCTCGTAGGCGTGAATAGGAAGCGTTCACACTTGGCCGCATTCGCTATGACCGCTTCTGAGTACGAGTTGGGGGGAAAAGTTTACGACAAACGTGCAGGATGACAGAAACAAACTATCTCTGGGCGCCGCCATTGTTTATGTTGCCAGTTGCCTAGTTTGCAGTCGCTAAGGTTGGCCTTATTGTTAATAACGCAAATTAATCCGTACATTGACGTGTTTGAAGGGTATCTGAGTATTACTTATACTCTATTTACACATTTGAACAACAAAAAAGTAAAATCTTGCCTAAATATGCATAAAATTGAAACGTGAGCACTAACTCTACTTTCGGTTTTTATCTGTGCTCGTGCTTGCACTTTGCGAGTCACTACGGCGTGCTGCGGTACTGCATTGCTGAGGTCATACAGTTTATATACTAAATACTAACTCTATGGATGAGGCCACAATAAAAGCATGATAAGGTTAGTCATTTGATGGTGTAATGGTTCTGGTTTCGGTTCCGAGTGGTCGTGCTCAAATACGTTTCACGGGGTATATGCTATCTTTAAAGGGGTCGTGAAACGGTCGCTCTACAACGACAATGTGGTACCATCGGCAGCCACACACGCTAACTAAATCATCAGCCCGAGTGGACCTGCATAGACGCTTTGCCTATCGCAGAACGCGGAACTCTACGGCATATCGAGCGTGCTCGAGAGGCGCTCATCGGCGTCTGCAATACGCGATACGCGTCCTACAAGATCGCTACTTATTATGACGTCAGAGCTCTAGTCAGCGCTGATTGCGTATGGTAAAGACGCTGATGGGTGTCCCAATTGCACGCACTCGCAAGTACCGAAGAGTTCCGCATTCCTCGATAGGCAAAGCATTACTTATGATGACGTCACCTACTTAGTGCGTGTGGACGCCGGTGGTTTCAGTAATAGACGAAAAGGCAGGAGTCGCTGTTCACTCTCCTACACTTGGCTGGTCGTTTTCGCCAAGGCTACAAGACTTCACGCCTGTGTTTGAAACTGAACTCGTGGCAATTATTCTAGCACTACGCAAACTAACTTGGGACACTCATACACTATAATAATTACAGTTTCACTGTCAGTATGTAAGTCGCCTACAGCTTCATCTAAATTCAGATGCTTTAAAGACGTTCCTAACGCTAGTCCTTCCTCAGCTGAAGCTCTTAAAGTTATCGTGGGCACCTGGACATTGTGGATTAGAGTTAGAGGAAATGGCGGACTCGTTAGCTCAAGCGGCATTGAATAGACCAACACATTCTGTCCTTCATGTAAAGTAGCCAGTATTAATGCGATAAAATATAGAAAATATATACTCTGTGCATATGCCATAGAGCCAGTAACATCATGGACAGAATTTGGGCATTTGAAATTTTAATGGAAACCCGAGTGGTGTCCTACTAGACAATTGCGAGTCATGCTAACTAGATTACGTTGTCGTGTGCCTCCGTTGAATCTGTATTCACACAGAAGTGGTCTGGTGATGACTCCCCTGTATGTAGCTTTTGTTCAGAAGTGGAATTAATAGGACAATATTTTTTGTCATGTCGCCGTTACAGATTATAAAGAAAACAACTCCTTAATCGTCATCACATTGGCTAAGCTAGGACTGACCTTCACGGTCGACACTACACTTATCTTTAGTGCTTAGGCTCTGGACTTCAGCCGCAGGGACGCCTTTGATGCAATTCGCAGTCATTTTCACGCAACAAAATGAATGTGCCTCTAAATGATTATTATTACATGTATTATTATGCCATTATACAACAATTTCGATACTAGTGTAATTTACAGTCAAGATAAAGGCTATACTGTCAGGTCAGAATGGTAAAAAGTAATCATTGCACTCTTTCTGTAGTTAAGCACTTTTTTCTTCCTTTTCTTAGGAATAGTTATTTCTTGAAACGCCTAAAAGTTCATATAACCATTTCTTGGTCAAGCCCCCTGTGTGGGTATGAGCCATTAGTTGAGGCATCATCATCGTCGACAGAACAAGAGGAAGTAGACGAGGCATAAGAAGACTGGGAAGAGGTCTGAACGTGAGAAAAAAAAACAATTATTGCGTTGTTGTAGTGTTTCGTGCGTTATTTTTCTCATAAACATGTGTTATTAACTCGTGTATTTATTTCTTGGCCCATCACTCTGAGTAGCTATAAGCGATATTTGAAGGCATCATCATCGTCATGATTATCATCATAATGCTTTCACGTACGGAGGTCCGTAACTATAGCGGGATTTAGAAGGTTCTGTCACCACCCAAAATGTTTTAGCGCTTCAGCATTTCAGGTTATCATAAAGTACTTACACGCCTCAGAATCGACCATCAGTCGCCGAAGTTGGTCGCTCTACACGAAAACACCCCCGAAAAAAAACAACAGTCCTAGGCATGGCCAGGGACGTATGTTGTTTCATTCTTGCTTATCGCTATTCAATTCTTAAAATGTCTCACTTAATTATATAATCAATTCAAGGTCCATCCCCCAGAGTGGGTATGATCCATGTTTGAGGCATCATCGTTATTACCTTCCAGTTGTCTTATGTGAGCGCTGAATAGACTCTTATTAGAGTTTTTTAATAAACTTAACTACTCACGCACTTCACAGAGCTTGAGAAACGCCGTCCTTTATTTAGTCGGGCGGGGCTCCTAAGATTGAGAATGAAAAGTGAAACCCGCAACTGTCTGCTGCTAAGTGCGACACCTCAGCAGTGGTTCACAGGGGCCCCCGCACAAGCGATAGATTATTGATAAAATCCTCACTGCCTTTTCCGGTGAGGCAACCACTTGCAAACCAAGTGGAGCCCTTTATGACTCCCGCTTTTCGTATCGACCGCCGGACTTTCCACATCACGTCGTTGGGAACGTCTTTCATCTTCCTCGACAGTAAAAGCACGAAGTTACTTCCGCCTGTAAGAGATAAAACCAAAGGTTAAAAAAAAAACTGGGTCGACGAAAACAAAAGTGGCGTGCGTGTGTAGTGATTGGTGTAGCTCTTGTCCTGTGCTAAGGGGCAGCTTTTCTACTGTGAAACCAGAGGGAGTGCCTAGCACGGACACTCAGCGTTTCCCGTTTGTAGAATTCCCACTTGTATACGACGATAGTTATAGCGCGAGAACAGAACGACGACACAGAGACAAAGACACGAAGGACACGACACGTCCTTCTTGTCTCTGTGCCGTCGTTCTGTTCTCACGCTGTAACTACCGTCCTGTCATATCAACTAGCCCAAGCTGCCACACTTCTAATCCACTTGTACGTTTACCGCACTGACGATCACGTGATTGTTTGAGGTATAAGCATGTAGATATTTCTGGTGCGATTAGCATCTGTATAGGAACAATCGAAAAATTGGTGCACGACGTGCGCGCTACTTTTTGGAGCACTTTTTCAGGCTCCTGCTTGTTTGCGACAGTTGAGACACGTGTATATCTACAGCGAGTTCCGCCTTGTTGTACCCCGCCCCCCTCAGGTATAGCGACAAAGGCGCCTAAAATGCACCAGTGACAGCAGCAGCCGCACTCTTGGTGAGGAGCTGGTGCCCTCTCTTGCGCGCCGTGGGCGTCAGCCTCATGTTTATTAGCAATCTTAATGTTAAGTTATTTGCATGGATGGTATCAATATTTTAGACCTCATTAGCTTGCTTTATTTTAAAGGGGCCCCGTAACACTTTTTTTATGTAGTTTTGGAAGGGATTCACCAGATGAGCTTATTGCCTCACAAATTCATCGCACAAATCTTTAGAATCCCTCTAGTACGAGCGGAGTTACTAAGATCTGTCGCATGCTGCATTTGCATTCTCTCTTGACTCGTTGCGACGAAAGCGTTGGAAGCTAATCCAGCTAATAAATATAAAAAAAATCAATGTTCACAGTTCCTGCTCGAGAAACCCCTCCCCCCCCCCCCTCTGTGTCCTTTGACGTCGGTTAAAGATTGGCGGGGCGTTTCGTCTCTGCTTCAGCATGCAATGATGGCCGGTCTAAGAGGCGAGGATATCTCTGCTTGAGTTACATTCATCGGCCTCGCTCACCCACTATTATACCCACGGTTAGAACATACGATGCGCTGGGGGATGTTATCAATTTGAACTTTATGCTCGACATGACGGCAACGGCGACGGCTAAAGCCCACCGAGACAGTCCACATCAGTACAATGAAGACCGTGCGTATTGACTCCAACAATTCGATTCGGAAGAAGCCATGGCTGCTCAGCATGACAACTCTTCTCCCGTTTTCGTGCGAGTTTACACGGATGCCAGGTGTATTCGTTTTAGACATTTAGTTGAAGATGGGAGATACGCTAGAAAAAAAAGATGTTTCGATTAGCCATGTAAAGTTTAAGAAACAGCGATGCTGGTTGATCTGAGGCCCAACCTCGCCTTCTTGACTGGTGGTCTCTTCATGACGTAGGCCTTTCCTTGGCGTACAAAAAGTGAGGTCGAACCACAAGCCTGTCACGGATCATGCAAGAGTGCCCAAACTCCCCTGCCGGATCCAACGTGCAAGCTATAGTTGTGGCATCACCGCTAGAAGCGGGGGCCTTTCGCCGTTAGCACTCGGCTGCGCAGCGTACTAACTCGGCGTTGAGTCTACGCGGGCTGTCTCCATCAGTGAGTGTGACTGATAAGCAAACTCGCGTATGGGTTTTTGAAATCACCCGACAGTTTTAACTCGAGCTTTAGGAGCTTCGCTCTTAAAATGCCGTTGGATGTGACGTTTTGACGAGCAGACTTGTCTTCTACTTACATCCTTGGATAAGACAGCTCCGCCTGCCGTAAGGTCAGTTATAACCACTCCCTGAGTACGCAAATGTTTTTTCATATCATCATGTTGATGTTGCGTGAAGAAGCTTTCGGTTTCGGGAGAGAGTTCTTTGGGCATATAAAATTATAGACGTGTCGCTCAGCAAACTGAACTATTCCAGCAGTCAAAGGCGCAGGTCGGCAAATTCGTTTATGAGTCAACTCATTCAGATTCACTCAGACTCAGATCGAGCCCTGATACTGAGCCTGAGTGAACCAGGGTGAGTAATATCTTGATGAGTTTGAGATCGAGTGAGTCCGGTGGAAGAAGCTTTTCGAGAGCGGGAGTTCCAGTGAGTCCGCTTCAGGAAAGTTTAGGTGAGCCTCAGTCCGAGCAAGCTCTAAGTGTGAAATATATTTCATGAAGGAGTCTGAGTGAACTCCGCCATGTTTGCTGACCCATAGTCAAAGGACTGTCACTAAATACCGATTTAGAAACGGCAGTATTCAATACCGTAAAAAAAAGTCACAAGGGGTGTGAGACGAATGTACTTAGACGATCTACACGCGAAAGCTCGTTTGTCACTCCTTGGAACTGTATACTCACGTTCGGAACAGATGTGCTCGATCGCCCATGTGTCGTAATCCGTGTCCACGATTTGGTAGTAGTGGGTGCGAACATGATGTATGCTATAACCACGCGGATCTGCAACACAAAAACAACCCGGTTTTTTTTTTCGCCATACCACGAGACGCGGGAAAAATTCGGTTTCCAGCTGCCGTCCACTTGTCCTTGAAATAAACAAAAAAAAACTTAACCCTTGTGCCGTGCTAAGTATTTTCTACCAGAAAGACCACTGATGGCTATACTCGTGCACAACAAAAATTAGCATCGACTTGACTCGGCTATGTCAGGTGTACGTAGCATGAGCTACGGACGGATGGACGAACAGGCAGACGAAGGCACGGACACATACCCCCGTGTTCACAAACGCTCTTTGACTCGACTTTCACCCTTCACTTGACAGAGTTGAGCACTGCGCCTGAAAATGACGCTGCGCTACTCAAGAATCGCAGCAGACTATTGATAATATGCAGTGACTTGCCGTGCCTAGAGATGGCGCCTCTATCGGCTTTCTCAAGTGAAGGCAAAGCGTCGAGTGAAGGGAGGTTCTAGAATACGAGGGATAGACGGACGGATGGACGGACTAGGAAGCGAGCTCACACGATTCAAGCGCCAGCCCACTAGTAACACGTCACTCCAGGAGCTTCCAGGTCACCGTGCTAACTGCGCTCTGTGTGACGTCACTGCTTATCGGGCATGCGCAGTGCGGCTCTCGAAAAGCCTCGCGAAATCGGCTCATCCTTGGCCAGTGTAGCTTACGCATGGAGCAAGGAAACACTCCGCCTTTTCCATTTTTTTTTTTTCGTGCTGCGTTTTGGTAGGGTTTGGTAGGGACCGGGAGAACTGGCATTAACGAGGGCCTCCAAGACCACGAGTTATTTCGCGACTTTTCCACCAGGGGAGGGCGCATTCGTCGTGGCATCCGTGAGCTTACGCAACAAAAATGGCACCACTTGTCTATGCTTTTTTTTTTTTCAATAGAGTTCATTCCTTCTTTATCTCCCCATGTCTCTCGCCTTTCACTGCATTACCGCCTCTAATACAGCGAATGCGCTGTTTTTTCATGCTAACGGGAAAAAAATACAGGGACGTTGTTTTCCCGAAATAATGCACCGTTCTATTCAGAAAAAGAAAACTTTGTAGAGTGAGCAAAAAAAAAAAAAAAACTCCGTCATTTTGGCAACTTTTTTTTCTTTATACCTTCAGTCGCGCAATAGTTTATGCCAGTTCCCCGCATGTGCGATATTAGTAAACAGTGGAGGACGCAAGCAAGCGCAGATGGAGTTCTTTCTTCATGTTCTTCTTTCATGCGTATATATATTTCCCTATCCCTTCTTACTATGCCTCACTTGTTTCATATATTTTTCTTCCTTTATCTCTTTCTATATTACCTCTTCTCATAACCCTGGCATCCGTCCTTTTTCATATGCGCTCAATTTTTGCCACCTTCTGCTATGCTATACTGCGCATGGTTACGCTATAGTTCACCCCGGTCTAATATCTTTCCCTCCTCCTCACACTAACATCAATGCTCACTCTTACTTCCCCTTGCCCTGGCTAAATAATACAATAAATGGCTATGCCTTGCTTTGCCATCTCCCATCGCTAACCATCCCATCGCTCTAATAATGATAGCTGACCTACGTAAACGTTCTTCGTTTGTTTGTCTGGGACTGCACGGACCAAAACCATTGTGGAGGGCTCCGGAAATTTTGACCGGGTGATGTTCTTTAACGTGCACAGACATTGCATAGTACGCGGGCTTCTATCGTTTCGCCTCCGCGAAAAGGGAAACGCCGCGACCGGAATCGAACCCACGACCTTTCACGTCAGCAGCCGACCACCGTAGCACCTAAAGCAGAGCGCCGGACTTCCACCGCCCTGACCACGTGTTGTCAGTCCTGGGTATTACGTGGCCTGCCTAGGTTCATTTCTTTTTTCAAGCGTGTAGCTTGTACTGCCTCAAAGTTGTCGTTGGTGACGTATAGCTGTGACTGGAATAAAATAGGCAAGGAAAGGCAACCGTGAGCGGCACCCAGAACAGGTGCCGGGTACACTGTAGGTCACGGAGCAAGGTATACGGGGCAAGCATTCGACTTCGAGTCTTTGTACAAGCATTAATAACGTCAAGTCATAGAGTATTACGCCTGTGTAGGTAATCGTTTCGTGCGTGAATACGAATGTCGCACTTACATTCAGGAAATCGAATTCTGTCAGATTCCAGCTTGCCTTCCTTTAAGGTTTCGTTCCAACTATCAGTCCCTTGTGCACTGAAACGTGATTAAAGGACGTGAATTCATGTCTTTTTGTACACGTGGACGCATTTTCAAAACAAAAGAAGTAAATCAGTCTGATGCACTTAAGACTTTCTAAACAGCGAAGTACTCTCGTGCCAACTGCCGCGGCCAGGATGTCAGGGAGCCTTCCTAAGAGCACCAGAGGAGGCGGCGCGGCTTGCACGAGGCGTTGGTTTTCGATGGCCCACGCACTCACCTCCTCGCGACTTTGTCCACTCCGTTTCCGTTGCTTTGTAGGCATGGCAGCACGTGACAAGTTCCTACAATGTTACGCTCAGGTATACTGATACCCTCCCAAGGCCCCTCCCTCACCTGCCTGCTCTCAACGCCGTTGAAGAACACCCGATGACTCCATGTCTGCTATTTACGAGCGCTAGGAATTTGGCCCACGGCAGCAGCCAATATATGAAATAACGGGGCAGGTGGCTAACGTGCCAGTCAACGTGGCAATAACACTGTGCAGTGCCGGCGACGGTAAGTGCCCGACAACGCTGCTTTCGACGTACTGCACACATCATGCGCCGGCTCTTTAACAAGCCTTCCTACAGAAATGGTCTCTCCAAGAAACGCCTGGTGCAACTCCGAGCCAGTTCTTCCAAGATAACTCATTTTGTGGATATGACGGTGATTTTTTTTTTTACTGATGGCCTTCTAAAAAACACTAAATTCCAAAGTGTGTTAGGCAAAAGCCTCTAGCTCTTCGACTCACCTGCGTCCATTGACTATTTCTGCCATGTCTTTTTTCTTCTTCATGAGGTTTTTTTTTTTGTTTTTGCACTCAGCAATAACCTCATTGCTGGGAGAACGTTAAGGGAACAGGTCTCAGCTGTGGTGGCGCAACGTCTGATGTTCGTCGCAGTACCATCACGGAGTTGCCGAGAGCGGGGGAGAGGCCAGAGCTGGCATCGTTCCGGGGCACGGATGGATGAACGGTCGTGGTGAGTATGATACGATAGACGAATTTAGTTGGGCGTCCGCAGCCGCTCTGCGGATGCAGTGATCTAGCGATTTCCTGTTATACACTGCCTACGCAGAGCTGTCGCGGACGCTCATCTAAATCTTTAATGAAGAATGTCGCCTTAAAAGGTATGCCACTACCGCCACCAACTTGCGCACGTACAGGTGGATGCTCACGGTCTTCATTCCCGAACGCCGACAACGACAACAATATGTTCTCGCTGTTTCGGGACACCGCTTTACGTTTCGGTGGAAGTACAGGGTCCACGTGTGAGAAAGTGGAGATGCATTGGCGCGCGTGTGAAGCTGAAGGGTGTACGTGTGAAATGTAGCAGACAGCATACCGGCTATGGCGTTCAACTTAGGCTAGTTGGAATTGACTGTATGCTTCCATATTACTAGGGAACACGGGTGTACAAGGTTCCTAGTATCTTGGGACCTTAGGTTGTACTAGCGGTTGTCCCCCCTCTCTCTCTCTTTATCTGGTGCCCATGGGTGTCTTCGCTAATATGGAAGCATACAACGTGCGCATTTGCCACCGTCATTGAGAGGCTTGGTAGATTTCCCGCTCGACTGTTGTACCGTCCACGATGTCACTCTCTCCAAAGACCGCTCGCCGATCGGTGATCCGCGTCTATCGATCCCCTCCCGCCGTCTTACGTCTTTACTTTTTTCTCCATCTCTTGTAATGTCACATTACCCATTTCCTTGTGAACCACTGCTTAGATGTCCTACTTTAATAGATACAGTTGCGGAGTTCACACGTCTCTTCACTTCCGTTTTATAGAAACTTGACCCCCCTCCCTCCCTTACCGTCAACCCCTTGGTTTTCCACCTGGTGTTACTCTCGCGTGAAATCGAGTCACGTAGTTATGGGGGCGTTTTTCTACGTCCCGGCGGTGGTATTTGAAGAGCTTCTTAGAAGATGTTGGTGTCTGCACTCCTCCGAAGAACATACAGGTGCACAAGAACTAAAAGGATAGGACAAGATAGAGAGGACAGATTGACGGTTGCTCACGTTGGGTTTATAGTTGAAACAACTTCGCCGTCCTTGGGAAAGAAAAGTCTCTCGTTACATATCTTGTACTTCGAATATTGGAGAGCGTCTAGAGCTGCGTACCATCGCTTGCTTGCCAGCTGAAAAAAAGAAAGAAAAAAAAAACTTCAGCGCAGCGACTTGGGTACGCGTTTAGAAGGCGGCAGAATTTTCGTGGCAAGTGCCAAATGATTCGAAATGGCCACTTGAGCGTCACCAAAAACATTTAGGATGGCGGACTGTGCGTCGCCACCACCAACGGTGCTACGGAACAGAGCGATCGTGGACACCACGGCATCTTGCGTAAGCACGTGACAAAAAGCTTATTGCGTACCGTGACGACAGGGTGCAGTTGGAACCAAACTATAGCTTTTGAAAGCACGCTGCAATTCTGTGAATCCTTTTTCCTGGTGCACTCACTATTACCACTACAATTTCGGGGCCCTTACGTTTTGTAGAGTACGATCCATTTGATGCAGTACGTTTTCCAAGCCTTAGTTCGACGAAGAAAAAAAAACGACAACTGAAAATTGTCGCGTCAGTGTTCCTTCAATCACTTAAGCATTTAGTTTAAAAAAAATAAAATATGTTGACCCTTACAAATAGCACTAAATGGGACTGCAAATGTATCCCCTTCACAGTACCTTGTCCCAATCTATGTCTTTCTGTCCTTTCACGTTGCAACTTGGCGTTGAGTTTGACATCGTGGGATCCAGCAGAACCAACAGCAGCGCCAGTACTTCGACGTTCATGCCGATCCACAAAACGATTCGACCCAAGCTCTGCGGGCTAAAGAAAGAATAAGTCATACTTTGAAAAATAAATAAAGACAAACCATGCATGTTCTACAGCATTCAAGGCCCGCATGGCCTCTGTCACGGAGCAAGAAGTACTTCTTTCCCCGTGTCTTCGGTATAGATTCGACGCTCCGTAAATGAAAGGAGTTGCTGTTGAAGCGCACTCGTGCTGAATCACGTCGGCGCAGAATTCAACATCTCATTCAAATCTGTATAGCCAAGCCTCCATTGGCCCCGCCTCAGCGACTACCAATGAAGGAGAGCGGGAAGAGAGAATTACCCATTTCACAAAATCACATAACGTCATAGATTGATGATTGATTGATTGATATGTGCAGTTTAAAGGTCCCAAAACCACTCTATGATTACAAGCGACGCCGTATCGGAAGGCCCCGGAAATTTCGACCACCTGGGGTTCTTTGACGTGCACCCAAATGTGAGCACAGGGGCATACAACATTTTCGCATAACGCCATAGATTGCAGGTGCATTCGATCCGGTTGCGTAACCTAAAATTGAGCGATGCACGGTCGGTTACAGAGAAGGAGGAGCTAAATGTCCGATCATGTACCCCAGTCCAACTCGTACACGATAAACAGGCAGGGACATTGAGACTCTATAGGCACCCTATTCGCAATACCCACGGCTTATAGGTGGCGCGCCGTGCAATCCAAGATGGCTGCGGAAGGACGATCAACCCGTGAACTCGCATAAAAAAAGATAGCATGCACGGACGTACTCCTTGTGCTGCTTTCACCGGATGATCTCTTGATCGTCAAATGAATGTATATCGAAGCAAATTACTTTCCCAACCGATAAGATCTGTTGAGTGTTCGGTACCTCATTTCTTGCCGCAGTGCAAAGGGTGATGGTGTCAGCTGATTGACTGCGTATCAGCGATGCCTTGCGTAATTCTGTGCGTGGTACAGAAAACTGCGCGAACCAGAATTCACGTATGAACTTGACGGCACTCCGAGATCATTTGTGCCGAGTTTGTCTGGCGAATTCGCCGAAGTAGTAGGCCAGTAGCGAATAGCGCGCCGTCGCGGCTGCACAGGAACGAATGATTAACGTAGCGATGGTTTTCAAACGTATTACGCCGTCGTTACTTGCGCTGTAAGCATCATGTAGCTGCTTCTTCAACGAAACACAAGCGTTTAACTTCCCATTAAGTAGCGCTTGTGTCACAGCCATGATCATACTCTAACAGTGCGCCATTCCCTGCACTTGGATGTTGCAGATTTCATCAGCGCAATCGAAACAAGGACGGCGAAACGAATACACGCGTACGCTTTTCGCAACGTCAAAGTTCCGAAAATTTGCCGCACAACAACGTCGTTCGGGCGGCACCAGTGAAGTGCAGGAGAAGTTAGCGTGGACTAACTGCATATTTCATTGCTCTAACTATTTCGCTTCGCTGGTCGAGCTCGAGAGTATGTATTGGCGGCATGCGGCGCTTTGTAATATTCACTGTATGATTGGCATACATTCAACGCGCAAGAAAAAGTATGCTTTTATTTTGAGCTGGCTGAAGGATATTATACAATAAATACAATCAAAGGGACTTACGAGCGCGAAAAAAAGATTAACGCACGACGGGACGTGGAGTGCAACTCTCTGCTCGTAAGCTAGCAGCTGATCGTTCATCGTCGCTGTCACTCTCAGCCCGTTGACAACCACCTAAGTCCAGTGAAAAATCCTCTACGTCAAGACGGTTTCTTTGAACATCACCACTGAAAGTAATCTGTGAGGAATTCTCTGCACCAAACGACTTCTATAGCACCAACAACGCGTCGTTCGCCACGCACAATACCCACATATGGCGTCAATCACCACGTATATCTGTGGGTGCGGAGATCATATCGCTCCGATATCCGGCAAAAAAGTAATCGCTTGCAGTGTGCTGTCATCTATCAACGAACGTAAAAAACAAGCGCCGCAGCGTAGGCCTGGGTTTGAAAGCGCAAATCGCGAGTCTGCGCTATTTTCCGCATACAATGAATGTTATGGGATTCATACACTACAAAAGCACCGACGAATGCTATACGCGCGTTAAACAAGACAAGTTTTAAGTGAAATGGTCAGACGTTAACGTTTGACTATCCGAAGTGGCTGCAAGAAATTTAGTGAAGCTGATATGTGTACTCAGCGGGCAATTATCGAAAGCGCGAGTTTACCACGTACTTTCACGAAAACTTCGCATCCTACAAGAACGAATCAGGTTTATCGTGTCACAGACGGTCTCATGTATTAGATTATGTACGAAACGAACAAAGTGGTCCGTGTTCATTTCTTGCTAACGCGTTAACCCTGCGGCTAGCACCACCGAACAAGGCAGCATTTGGAGCGTCTGCCTCGTGATCATCTATGAGAGGACACTCCTGAATTCCGCTGGGCGGCGTGATAGTCTATGAACATTGCAAATAGCATATACTCTATCTGATGTGGTATCTGATAAACCACAACTTCCGATACATTCGGTATCTGATACACTATAACAGTGATGTAGACTGACGCAGAAGCAGTCTCCGTGTTCGGACTCTGCTTTGCTCAGGTCGGACCTCGGGTACCAACTATGGGTCTAAGCAGCGAACTGGGGAAGCCGCCAAGGGCCAGCAACCCTTGGCCGAAGCCTAGGCGAGGTGCGTGACCTTCTCACCAGTTCTCAGGGCATTTATCAAAATTCTCTGATCTTATCTGACTGACGATCTGTGCGTTCAAAGTAGCGGTCAACGATTTAGAGTACTTGGTACTCCACTTTTGGGAGAGCATAAAGCCATCCCGTGGACCTCACACTTGATGAGGCCGAGTCCAAGGAAAGTTCACACATATTAAAAGGATGCTGAAGTCAACTATTAAGTCGACGTTGATTGTTAAAATAGAGGTCCAGAAACCTCGTAGTGTTACTTTTGTGCCAAGGAAGGGCCTATTTTGAAATAAAATCCCGTTTTAGTGGTCCACGTCGGGTTAGCGCACTTCGAATTACCCGCATCAACAAGCGAACCAACCGGACCGACTCATTCCACTCTCGCCATGCACAACGTTGCCCGGCTTTACTGCACTAGTAGCAGCAGACCGAAAGCGGCGGGAACCACAACAGCAACAACGGCTACTGATCAATTTCCCGCCATTGACCCCGAAATCGCAGACGTTTGTTTGTTCAACTACGCCTCGCTAGATGGCACTACCTGTCCAGTGTAGCTACGCGAAAATTTAATTTTTGGACCACTTGCGCCATCCCCTATAACAACGTCCGGCGGTTCTTTTCTCCAGGAATCAAACAGAAACGAACAAGTAGCATTTTATCGCGTCTCTTGATGCACGTAAGGTTTTTTACTTAGTGCAGCTAGATCAATTAATAGTGATAAATTGTAGGCGGTCCGTCTAATGTCAACAGGATCATTTTGAGTATGTCCTACTGCGGCGCATGTGTTCTTGTGCATTAACCTCAATTCCTCGGTAAGTAAAGTACTGTTGTTGTTAATATTGTAATTTTTGGTGTTTTCATACATTGAGCTTTCACTCTGACGTAAATTCTTATCTGGATTTAGTGTACCTTTAATGGAGCGGATGCTGCGTAGACGCACAATCACGCTCCTTATTCGAAGTTTGGTGGTGGTGGTGGTGGTGGTGGTGGTATGAGTTAAGTGACTATATCGGTGTATTAAAACAGATATATTCGAAAGAAAGTGGCTACATGTGTCGCCACCGGTAATGTCGCAACCACACTGCACTTTGTCTGAAGGTCTTGTAGCTTAATGTTGAAGTAACTATTTAGCGGCTGCGTGTGAACCCTTCAATTAATGCATTTATCTTGTGTTTCCAAAGTTATGTACGACGTATATATCAAACTCTCGTCGAAACGACAGTTTGATGCCGCTGAACAACACATACGCTTGGCAGACTCGGAGAACAACTCCGAACTATTCGATATTTCGAATGAACGGAGGCCAAATTGGTGAGATTTTACGGTATATGCATGCGCCGCAACCAAGGACCATTGTGGCGACGCCTTTTGAAGTGTGCACTTTGGTGGTTTGCGCCATATTGCGAGCGACTGTGAACAGACCCATGCCACGCTAAACAACCGCAGAGCATCGCTCAATACCAACGGTAAGTTGTATATCGCCTATAGATTGCTCACCGTTAGTAGCATGCTGCAGTTGTATGCACCCGTGGTTATTATATATTTGATATGTAGACCGCATTTAAACTACATGCGTATACTTACAGCATGCAGGATGCCAACGGCGGGCTCTTTATATGCGTTCCTTTTACTCTTGGTAGTGCACAAATATCTCAGATAATTCAGTCAGCGGGCAGATGCCCATTCCCTATTCGCTGTTCACTATTCCCTGCCCGTATGTATGTATGTATGTATGTATGTATGTATGTATGTATGTATGTATGTATGTATGTATGTATGTATGTATGTATGTATGTATGTATGTATGTATGTATGTATGTATGTATGTATGTATGTACCACTACGTCAGCGGCCTGAGTCTAATCACGTGTGTCACAATCGTGACCACTAAAATGATCACTAGTGTAAGCGGAAGCGTCCGTGCGCAGGGATGCTTGGCCTGACACGATCCCACATCCTTAAAATTTCTGCTGCTTAAAAGAGCGCCACTGAGAGGTAAACTAGGAACTATATACCCTAAATGTTAGAGTGTGAAATTCAAAGGCACTCAAGCTTGTAGAGGAGTTGAAGCAATGTGGGAAGTTTCGTTAGCGATTCAGCTGTGAGGGACATACTCTGGACGACTGCGGTGACAAAGTGTCGTGTTCCAGCGCTGGCTCAGCCTGCTTTATCAATGTTTAATTGGTCATGTCTCGCAAACTACGAATATTGAGGCTTAGTAATAGGACCCCGAAGTGACACACAAGCATGCAATCACTGAATCAAAAATCTAATAAAGGAAACACTTTATATATATATATATATATATATATATATATATATATATATATATATATATATATATATATATATATATATATATATATATATATATATATATATATATATATATATATATATATATATATATACGAGCACTCACCCGAACTAACGATGCTAAGGTGGTCTGTAGAACGCCGACACTCCCTACTTAGTGGTGTGTACACAAAACGAAAACCGCTACAAACGTCGACGTATGATAACGTCGACTGTCATGTGGAAACCTACGACGATGGCCATTCAATAAAGTATTTTCGTTATGGCATTCAGGCATTCTTTCTAGTGGAGTAGGCTAAGACATTATGGCTGGCACGACGTTGCTTTTTCTTTTCTTTGTTGACGGGCAGCAATCATCAAAGTTTTCGACACCATTGTACGCGAGGTTAAAACCAGAATGAAGCTGCAGTATGACTGTTGTCACCCTACTGACGAAAGAAGAAAAGTCGCTAAGTTTAGTTTGAAAGTATTATTTTTTTGTTGGATGAAACGGTGTCCATTGTTCTTTTCTTACAAGAAGCGAACAACTGTCTTTCATGTTTTGTGAGTTTCTTTAAATTATATATCAGCTGCCCGCTTTTTAATTTACAACTTATTTAAGACGTCACAGTGGCACGTCTCATATGTTATCTTGTCTTTTGATTTCTGGGAGGAGTTAAGCAGTAGCCCTAAATAAGAATTCATTATCTTTATTAACGTCGTCATAATAATTACCTTCAGCGTAATCAATGTCAGTATGAAGTTTGAAGTTTATTTACAGTTACTCAGTGCATGAGACATGAATTGTCGTATATATTGCCAGGATTATCGCTTTTTACTTATTGCTGGTCATTGATTAAGAAGAAACTGTATATAGAAACTCCTCCTGGGGTAATTCTCAATGATGTATTTCTCAATGAAGTAATCCTCAATCATCATCTTTACCTTGAGCAAATTCATACACAGCCCTACTTATATACCCTCCGGGTTTAGGTCTTCAATAATTACTTTTCTCTTTGGGAGTCCTCGCCATAATTGCTGAAGTGCATTGTCACCTGCAAGTCGCAAGTCGCTGTGGTATTATGTGTTGGCCTCTACACGTATTGCCAGCAAATCACGACGATTATCCCGTTGTTTGATTAGTACTTTCAAGCACGTAGTGAACAGAATTAGATGGATCGTGTTCCTGTTACTGACCCCTCTAAGAGCGAAAATGTTAGGTTTCCGATTCCGCGTTGACTTAGATTGTTTCGGTGAAAATTTCATTTCATGTGATTGGTATGTGGGAGTTAACGTCCCAAAACCACCATATGATCACGAGAGACACGTCGTGGAGGGCTTAGGAAATTTAGACCACCTAGGGTTCATTAACGTGCACCCAAAATCTGGGCACAGAGGCCTACAGCATTTTTGCCTCCATAAAAAATTCAGCAGCCGCAGTTATTATTCGATCCCGTGACCTGCGGGTCAGCAGCCGAGTACCCGTGAAAATTGGAGTATACATACAAAATGTAACAAAAAAAAATTGAGGGTGGGGGCAAGGTTTGTAGCCCGCCAACCATCCACCTAAAGGCTCCACTGAATTGATCATAAAGCTACCGAAGACTAATGGGATGCCATTATTATTCTACGATCAGTATTGCATCCTAGTTCCGAAAAATCGCGCAAGATGCATGTCAATCGGGAGATAGTCGTCAATATTCTGTGTCGTAATCCTTCCGCCACTTTGATGGACACCACAGAAGCTAGTTCGCATTATACAATGTCCGTGTCCTTCTGGTCCTCAATCATTGCACCCTCACTCTGGTAATCGATCTAGCATCCTGGGTAGCTCACTTGGTACAGCAAGTGCCCCAGAAATGCGTTGTTCCTGGGAGGGATTCATTGCCCACAGCGAATCATCCGTCACTAATAACCTTCTTTTCTGAGAAATCCGCATGTATTTTTGGTAGCTTTGCGCTAGAAACCGGTGGTTTGCAATTTTACCCGTAATTGCTCTACCTTATTCTTATATGATTCTTAAGTGAAAAGAAGAGAAAAGTGAGCCCCGCAACTGTCTGCATCGCAGTGCGGCACCTCAACAGTAGCTCACGAGGGATGGGGGAAAGGAAGGATTAAAAGGATATGATTAAAAGATATAGAGATAGAGAGACGGGGAAGGAGAGAGCGTGGCGTTGGGACGGCGACATCCAGAGGTAAGGAGAAGATAGGAAAGACACGGTCGCAGGAGTTCGAGGACAAGGCACCACTCAGTGAGAGCTCTTGTCGGCGTCAGGAGATGGTGTAGGGCGAGGCCAGTCGGCCAGAGCTGCACTGTCGTCGGAGATCGCGAGGGCACAACCGGTCGGCACGCAATCCAGCCAGCGAGTCCTTGCTCTACCTTGAACAAACTGCTGTGATATTTGAGCGTTTTGAGAAATCGCGTGTATAATGGTTTAGGTGGATTGAAATATTCGGTTGGAAAGGGGCCTACATATAATGTTAACAAATGTTTTGCAAAAACGCTAATAATTTTGAGTAAAATCGCTTGTATAACGGGTCGAAATGTTCGCGTAAATCAAGAACGCTTGTGTGACCACGTGGTATCACACGTAAACATAAATGGGGAACTTACATTAAGGAAATCGAATTCTGTGAGACTACAGCTGACCTTCCTTCAATGTGTTGTTCCAACTTTAAGCCCCAGGTTCACTAAAACGTGGTTAAAAGACACGAGTCTACGTCTTCATCAGATGAATTGAACCATCTGGATCGTCAGTACGACTTGACTTAACCTCAATCTTCTTCGTGTGACCATAATCCTTCAAGGACTTTAATATGACCATAACCGATCTTTTTAGTGTAGGCACTACAATGTTCGACCTATAGTTTGACGTGCCGCGTTCCATTACTATCAGCAAAAGCATAAGTTTTGTTCCCTCAAAGATAATGCAATAAAAATTTAATTGCGCGCACATCAGGAACCCGTGTTTTCATTCTATTTACGTCAAAAGGGAACACGACTGACTGAAGAAAGATGAAATATTTAATGACATGCAAATTACAATTTAATTGCTAAAACTCACGCGAAATATCTTGGAATGCAATGCTGAAAGCCTTGCAATTGTGTAACGTGAATTTGACACATTGGTCGACAGAGAATCACAATGCGAACCCTAAGGGCTTGTGTCTTCCCACAGACGTTTTCTGTTCTCTGGTAGAATACTTTTAGGTGAACTTCCTTAAGGCGTCACCCGATCATCCTTTGTAGTAACCTCCTCTAACGGGTATGTGCTACAGGAAAATTTAGTTCTTGGATTGGCCGCTATATGACGGTACTTGTATTTAATCAATGTATGATTAAAAGATACGAGGTGGCGGTACTTTGAGTGTTCACTAGACGGGCGGACAGACAGACAGGCGGATGGACGCATGGACGGACGCACGATTGGACGCACCGACGGACGCACGATTGGACGCACGGACAGACACACAGACGAACGGAAGCAAGAATGAACTGATGGACGGAAGCACGGACGGACTGGCGGACGCTTCACTCCGGTCATAATCATTCACTCCATGGATATGCTGTGCTTTTTTTTTCTTTTAACTTCTCCGAATATCTCAGTGTACGCACTTATTAAAAGAACGCACAGGTTTGGACAAAAACGAGAAGTGAGAGAGGGTGAGAGAGGCAGAGAGAATGGCGGTTACTTACGTTGGGTGAATGAAACAACTTCACCATCCTTGTGATAGATAAGCCTCTCGTTACACATCTTGTACGTGGCATAGTTGAGAGCGTCCAGTGCCGCGTACCATCGCTTGCTCGCTAACTGCAAAAACGGACCAACTGGCGTGTGCGGCTCGTCGAGAACGAAGACCTACAAGGCCAATTAAGGGCTGTCCAAGGGGCCCACGACGAAGCGACCCGCTTCGAACTAATGGTGCAGACGTGGACACGGCTCACCTCGGCATAAAAAACCTAGGTTCAGGGATGTATCTAATAAAGTTATTCAATTAATCAATCAACCAACCTTTAGGCGACCTTAACTTACCCGGATTAGTATTCAGGGGCCCGTCTAGAAGGATGTGGCGTTTCCTGCTTACATGCGAACGGATACAAGTTTGGGGTGCGCGCTCTGGTCTGAAGTCATGAGTCGAACAGCCGGTGGGTGCGACAACTTCCCAATGGGGAGGGAACGGATCGTAAGAACGCCTGAACATTAGTCAATTGTCCAAACAAAATTACACCATATCCACGAAGTGAATTATGATGAGTGGGGCGAAGCATCCATCTGTCCGTCCGTCCATGCATGCGTCTGATCGTGTTCGAGAATGCAGATGGCGCGCGGGTAACACCTACAAGACGCAAGTCAAGGAAGCCTAGCGCAAGCGTCTTCAACGCACCCGCCGCTCTGCTTCGTCCATGCCCACCAACGATCCGCCACGTACGGCGACCATCCAAGAGGCTGATAGAGGGATTCGTTCTCCGCGTACCCAGGCACAGCCCGCGCAGCAGCCAATCAGCGAGTAGCGGAATATCCTCCCTCCACTACAGCTTGTATGTACTTCTGTGAGGCAGAACCATCTATTATACTGTTCAGGAGATACTGTCTTCTTTTCTCTCTCGTTTCTTCTCTCGGTTACGTGTGACACATGACAAGGTTAGACTAAAGGAAACTTCGACCCTAAAACAGCGCCGACAGCTGATCCGCGTGAGAAATTCTGATCCACGTGAGCAACCGCGCACCGAGGATCCGAACTGGCGTGACAACGGCAAGCCGAGGAAGCGGCGTTGCGGGCACAGCAGCGTCAATGAGGCAATGGCGGGAACGCGTTTGCCAGGGCTGACGCCCGCTTTCGGCGGGAAATTCTAGAGCTGCACTTTGGCTTCGGCTGCGACGTCTGCAACCACCTGTGGCCGCACGTTTCAGCTTCGCTGGTTGACCATTTCTACGGAGTGCTTGGGCGGTTACCCCTTTTTCAAAGCAATTTTCACCCCGGGCCTGGCTGTGTGGTAAAATATTTGACTGTCACGCAGAATGATTGGTATCGATTCCGGTGAGAACCCTCCTTTTTATGGTCACGTATAAGTGTCACACATGACGAATACTCTTAAGCAGGATCGTAAGGTCGGTGTCAGAGGGAAGAGGTACTGACAACAATTTTCAAAGAAGGGTTTACTGTGCCATAAATATTTGTAGACGGCTCTGATACAACTATTTTTGAGCATAGTAAGAAAAACGTTGTGAATCGGTAGTCGAGGCTCCAGTGAACACATA